TAATTCAATGTTCTCTACATTTTATTTCATAAGATGGTACCTTTAAATGCCCTTACTGATGGAACTGACATGCAGAGGTGGTCATTGTTGTTTTTGTTGTTGTTAAGTTCTGTCAAGTTGGTACTGACCCATAGCAACCCTGTATAGGTTTTCTGAGGAACTGCCGACTTTGCCGTTCAAACAGCTTTGCAGTCTGGCACATTAACCCACAGTGCCACACCAGGACTCCAGGGACTGGGGATACAAGGACCAAATTAACTCATTAAGCATACTTTTTTTCAGAGTGTCCATCCAGCCTGCCCTGACCCAAAAGCAATAGGGATGATGGAGCTAGCCAAACCCTGTCTTTGTCTTGTGTTCTATCTAGTGTGGAGAGACAATCAAGAAAGAATCACACACGTCTCTCCCCTCACTGGGGAGAGGAGCGAGCTGGTCCTTGCAGCTTACTATCTATCTACTGTCTGTGGACACTTACACGTGCCCCTGGAAATGGCAGAACAAGAGTGCTACTCTGCCCCACCTATCTCTGATAGGTAACCCTAGAATTCTGGCCTCAGCAAGCCTTCATGGGTGGGGATTGAATGACCAGCGCCCGCTGAGCAGCCTCAATTTGATTTTTTTAGTCGGTCCACTGTGTGGGGCTCCAGGCAGGTGGTGGTGGTGGTGGGGTGCTACGGATGAAACAACTTGGGGTCCCTAGCAAGAAACTTAAGGTCTCCCGACACCTCTCCAAACCGATTTTGCCCATTCTCCTCTTTACTGCTAATTGGAAGGTCGGTGGTTCAAACCCACCAGCCTCTGGGAAACCCTAATACAGATAGGGTCGCTATGAGTCAGAACCGACTCCACAGCACTTAACAACCACCTCTCTAATTCCTTGTTAAGACGCCTCCCCCATCTACCTGAGAAAGCTCTGTCCCCTTCCCCCTCCCCCCATACCCCCCAACTCCTATCCCCACCAACGAGGAATCTGCACCCCTCCCCTTCAAACTTCTCCCTTGGCTGCCCTGCACAATTTCTCTGCAAACTTCTACTCCTGCCCTGTTCCCCACCCCCACTCCTAGTTGACGCCACAAAGCCCTGCTTTTCCACCCACCCGTATCCGCCCAACTATTGGTCCCCGAGGGTCTCAGTCCAACTAAACCAACTTTTCAGAGCCTTGTCTTGTGGATCTTGATTGGCTTATTTGGCCAGGTGGACTTTACTCGGTGCAGCTGCCTGTGCGCCCGCTCACCCTCCCCCGTGGGTAAAAGCCCCTTTGGAGGAGCGAGTGGACCTCCCCACCACTACCGCTGGTTGCGTGATCACTGGCTTGCCTCCAGCCGGGTCCTCTGAAACTCAGATCAAGGTATCAGACTCACCTCCTCCCCTTGTAAAACTGAGCTCCTCTCCTTTACTCTGCCTTTGAAGATGTTTATAAATTCAAACCATAACTGGCTAGAATGAGACAGATCAACGGGTTTAGTTCCTGCATTTTACAGAAGAAACACCATAGAGAATGAAAGTGGTCTGTCCAAGGCTATTAGCCTGAAGGATTGGACTCACTTGGGTAGGAAGCTTCCTGCCAGCAATGATTGTGAAGTTGGTGCAGAACCCGGCAGTGTTTCGTTCTGTTGTTCTCATAAGGTTGCTATGAGTCGAAACAGGGCATCTAACAACATTGATTGTGTTCACCATTACTACGCTTGAGCCCATTGCTGCTACCACTGTGCCAATCCATTTCTTTGGGGGGTCTTCCTCTTTTTTGCTGATCCTCCACTTTACCAAGCATGATGTCTTTCTCCAGGGAGTGGTCCTTCCTTATAATATATCTAAAGTATGAGAGACGAACCAAGTCTTGCCATCCTGACTTCTAAAGAGCATTCTGGCTGTACTTCTTCCAACACAGATTAGTTTGTTCTTTTGTCAGTCCACAGTACTTTTAATATTCTCCAACACTATAACATAAATGTATCAATTCTTTTTTGCGATCTTCCTTATTCATTGTCCAGGTTTCACATGCATATGAAGCTATAGAAAATAGCATGGTTCAGGCACAAATTGATATCTTTGCTTTTGAATGCTTTAAGGAGGTCTTGTGCAGCAGATTTGCCAAATGAAATATGTCCTTTGAATTCTGGACTGCTGCTTTCATGAGTGTTGATGGTTGATTCGAGCAAAATGAAATCTTTGACAACTTCAATCTTTTCTCCATTTATCTTGATGTTATTTATTATATAAAAAGGTAAAGAATTTTGTTTTCTTTACATTGAGGGGCAACACATACTGAAAGCTGTGGTCTTTGTTCTTCATCAGTAAGTATTTTAAGTCCTTTTCGCTTTCAGCAAGCAAGGTTGCATCATCTCCATGTTGTAGGTTGTTATGAGTCTTCCTCCAATCCTGATGCCACATTCTTCTTTATATGATCTAGTTTCTCAGATTAATTGCTCAGCATATAGATTGAATCAGTATGGTGAAAGAATACAATCCTGGCACACATGTTTCCTAATTTTAAACCATTCAGTGTTCCCTTGTTCTGTTTGAACAACTGCCTCTTGGTCTATGTAGATGTTTCTCGTGAGCATAAATAAGTGTTCCAGAATACTCATTCTTCCCAATGTTGTCCATAACTTGTCATGATTCACATAACCAAAAGCCTTTGCATAGTTAATAAAGAAACAGGCAAACATCTTTCTGGTATTCTTTACTTTCAGCCAAGATCCATCTGACATTAGCAATAATATTCCTCCTTCTGCCTTCTCTTCTGAATCTGGTTTGAACCTCTAGCAATGTCCTGCTGCGGCTATTTAACAATTCTCTTTAGCAAAATTTTACTTGCATGCAATATTAATGATATTGTCTTATGATTTCCATATTCCATTGGGTCACCTCTCTGGAATGGATACAAATATGGATCTTTTCCAATCAGTTGTCCAGGTAGTTATCATCTAAATTTCTTGACATAGATGAGTGTCTCCAGAGCTGCCTCAGTTTGTTGAAAGATTTCAATTTGTTTTCCATCAATTCTCAGAACCTTGTTCTTTGCCAATGCCTTCAGTGCACCTTGGACTTCTACCTTCAGCATCATTAGCTCTTGATCATATGCTACCTCTTAAAATAGTTAAACATTGACCATTTCTTTTTGGTATAATGACTTTGTGTATCCTGTTCATCTCCTTTTTATGCTTTCTGCATCATTCAATATTTTGCCAAAAGAAACCTTTAATATTGCAAGTTGAGGCTTGAATTTTTCCTTTAGTTGCTTCAGCTTAAGAAATGCTGAGTATGTACTTACTTCCCTTTTGGTTTTCTAACTCCAGGTCTTTGCACATTTTATTATAATATTGACTTTGTGTTCTTGTGCTGTCCTTTGAAATTTTCTGTTCAGCTCTTTTACCTCCTCATTTCTTCCATTTGCTTTAGCATCTCTACACTGGAGAGCAAGTTTCAGAGTCTCTTCTGTAATCCACTTTGGTCTTTTCCTTCTTTCCTGTCTTCTTAATGACCTTTTGCTTTCTTCCTGTATGATGTCCTTGATGTCATCCCACAACTCTTCTGGTCTTTGGTCATTAGTGTCTAAATCATCAAATCTGTTCTTGAGATGGTCTCTAAATTCAATTGGGATATGTTCCCCAATTGATCCCCATGGGTAGGTACAATTCTAGGTTTAAAGAGTGCCTGAGTGTTACCCTCTTGGGGTTTTCTACCAGTCTCTATTAGACCAGTAAGTCTGGTCTTCTTTATGTTTTTGAATTTTGTTCTACAGTTTGTCCCACTTTATCTGGTACCTTCTTTTGTGATTCTGATCAAAGTGGTTAGTACTGGTAGCTGGGCACCATCTAGTTCTTCTGGTCTCAGAGTAGTGGAAGCTGTAGTTAGTGTGGCCCATTAGTCCTTTGGGCCCATTGTTTCCTTGAGACTTTGATTTTCTCCAATCCTCTTTGTTCTGGATTGGGGGAAATCAGTTGTCCCATCTTACGCGGCTGCTCACAACCTGTTTTTAATTTTCAGGAACTTTATTTTATAAATACATCTAATTTCACAAAGATACACTCTCTTTTTTTTTATGTACATAAAAACACTCAGGAATATATAATCAAAGGGCACATTCTGCAAGCCTGTATCCTGGCCACCAACACACAGCCTTCTCTTTCGATGAGTCTAAAGTCCTCAGCTGCTCCATCTCTCCATGTCATCATCTCTGCCTCCATCTCTGGTTTCGCTGCTTTGTATAGTAATCTTTTATGTTATTTCAAAAGGTATTTGTAAGGAAGAAGGCACTGGTCTTGTAAAATTCCATCATGTAATCTCCAGCATCACTTCTATTATGAGGCCATATTTTCCTTGGTGATTACCATCATTGTAGATAATTGTAAAACGGAGAGAATGTATATAGTGCTTATTGTTTAGAAACCATTTTCAAGTGTATTATCTCATTTGGTCTGAAAACCAGCCCTTTACAGTATGGAGGCAAAGGATTATTATCTTCATGCCATAAGGTCAGACTCCATTGCCTATGTGTGGTATGTGTATATATTTGAGTACGTGTCTGTGTGTGTCTTTTCTCTCACTGCCACCTCACTCCCCAGTGGAAGAGCTTTTATTTTTCTTTGCTCTATGTTCTTTGTTGAAGAGATTAAAATGGCAAATAGAGATCCCTATTTTTCACCCTCATAAAGTACAAAGTGGGATAAAGCCACCAAGCTCTCTGGGCATGGTTTACTTGGATGTTTAAGAGAAACTGTTCACCTCAGACTTCCTCTGAAAAAACAACCACTGCCATTTTATCCATTCTGACTCATAGAGACCCTATACGGCAGAGTAGAATTCTCCATAGGAATTCCAAGGCTGTAAATCTTCATGGAAGTGGGCTGCATCATCTTTCTGCTGAAAAATGAGCTGGTGGGTTTGAATCACTTACCTTTTGTTTATCAGTCCAATTGCTTAACACAGAGAGCCACCAGGCTCCTCTGGGAGGTATTTTAAGCCAAACAGCTCATTTGATTTCTTCCCCAGGAGCTATGGACACTGTGGAACTTGCCAGAAAGCTGCAAGAGGAGGCCACCTGCTCCATCTGCCTGGACTACTTCACAGATCCTGTGATGACTGCGTGTGGGCACAACTTCTGCCGAGAATGCATCCAACTAAGCTGGGAGAAGGGCAGAGGGAAGAAAGGGAGAAGGAAGCGGAGAGGTTCTTTCCCCTGTCCTGAATGCAGGGAGATGTCCCCACAGAGGAACCTCCGGCCCAACCGTCTGTTGACCAAAGTGGCTGAAATGGCACGCCAGCACCCCAGCTTCCAGAAGAGGGACTTGTGTAAAACACACCAGGAACTGCTGAAACTGTTCTGCCAGGAGGACCAGAGTCCTATCTGTGTCATCTGCAGAGAGTCCCGAGAACACCGGCTCCACACTGTGTTCCCCATTGATGAGGCCACTCAAGATTACAAGGTGAGCTTCACCCAGAGGGCCACGTTATGTTGGAAGAAGAGGAGCATTTGTCAGTGACGGCAGGCCAATTACTACTGTAACAAATAGACCCCAGAGTGGACAACAGCAACACAGTTGTTGAAATTTTCTCTTACTCACAGAACTAAATCAGGCCAGGCAAGGGAGCCCACCTCTAAAGCTATTCAGGTTGTCTTGGTGAGCTATTTCAAGAATATCTCAAATGGTAAATTTAAAGAAAAAAAAATTATTTTCTCACATTTCTGGAGGCTTTGTTGATTTCTTTCTTGTCATTGGTTGTTGCTGTTGTTGTTGTTAAGTGCCATCAAGTCAGTTCTAACTCATAGCAACCCTGTATAGGGTTTCCAAGGAGCAGTTGGTGAACTTGAACTGCCGACCTTGTGGTCCAAACCAACTTTGCAGTCTAGCACCTTAACCCACAGTGCCACACTGGACTCCTTGTTATTAGCAGAAGGCATTCCTTGGTTCCTTCAAGTTCCTTGGCTTATAGATAATCCTCACATGGGGTCTGCATTTCTGTGTGCATGCATGGGTGTACATATGCATATGTATGTCTATTCCAGTCTTTTTATACTTCAGAAGTAATTAAGTTTAGGATCCATCTTCCACTGGTATGCCCTTATTAGCACAACAAAAGATCAGCTGTGAGTTAGAATTCCAATGTATATTTTGAAGGGGAACAATTCAACCCAAAGCACATAGAAAAGCCATAAACCTGTTCAGTAGTTGGACAGAGACCATTCCAACATAAATCCTAGAGAAATGCAAGGCTGGTGACGTCACTTTGTGGGGAGCAGGCCAATGAGTAGATTCCAATTCATGGTGATTCCAAGTGTACTACATAGGGTTTTCAGTGGCTGAATTTTCAGAAATAGACACCTCTGGGTGGACCTGAGCTTCCTACTTTCACCTTCTAGTATATTAATGTTTGCACCAACTACCTGGGACCTCATGAGACTCTATGGGTACCTAGGAAACAATGATAACTATACTCACCTGAGAGAGTCAGCTGTCTTCAAATAGTATAGTACATTAGCACCACCAAGGTTTTGGGAAAGTTAGGTTGCTTGGCCCCATCTCCAGAGTTTCTGATTCAGCAAGGGTGGGTGGGACTCCAAAATGCATTTCTAAAAAGTTCCTAGGAATGCCCTGCATCTTGGTCTGGGACCACACCTGAAGAACCATTGAAATAGACAATGCTAGACCCCAGGTCTTTTTGTTGATGGATACAGATTTTGAGGTTGTCACAGGCTCCTGTGGTCTGGATGAGGATCAGGACCCCTTCAGGAGGGGGGTGGGGGTGGTGGTCAAGTCAAAGGAAAGGGAGGGAATCAAGTCTTGAAGGTCTAGACTGTTCTCATATTTTGCAGCATGTGAACTGAATAGAGCTAAAAATTTCCATTTGTCTTATCCTCAACTGAAAGTGATGTTTCTGATCAGTTCCTTTGGATGTCATACCCATGCCCAGTGGTGGCTGGGAAATTCCTGAGTATTGCATTTGCTGGCTTGTCTTACCAGAATGCTCACTTGTTCACAAAGAGCCCACCAGTTATTGGCTCCAGGCTTCTGGCTACTGTGTCCTTACCTTTTAGTGGACCCCCTTAGGATGGTCTTGAGAGGGATGCAGCTATAGAAGAGTATAAACCAGATTTGGAGGTGGGAATGTATCCCCTGTCCTCACATGTTGCAGTTTGTGTGCCTTATAGGTGAAGTTGGAGGAAAACATCAAATATCTGAGAGAGGAAATGATGAAGACTGAGGATTCACTGGCCAGGGAAGACAGGATCATGAAAGAATGGCAGGCAAGTGTTTGTCCCACAAAACACACAACTTCTCAGAGGGCAGGAAAACTTGGAACTTGAAATAAGGTCAAAGTTGTGGAGGGTATCCTCCACTGCCCTGTGGGCAGGCTCTGCAAGACATCAGAGCACCCAGAAGCACCATATATCTCTTAGCTCTGCAGAAGCTCACCCCATCTCAGCTTTCACAGAGATGCTAACCTTGAAGTGGGAATTCCTGTTAATGGCAGAAAACAATACCCAGAAAGTTAATTCAAAACCAATGCTCAGTACAGGTGGGTTATTTTAAAAACAGTAGGCTCTGCCAGTTTTCAGGATTTTGCTACTGTGTTAGTTTTGTAGGGCTATCATCACAAAATGCCACACAGTAGGTGGCTTTAAAGAATAGGAATTTATTTTCTAACAGTCCTGGAAGCTAGAAGTCCAAATTCAGGGCAGCTGCAGGGTCGTGCTTGCTCAAGGAAAAGATCTTTCTGTGTCTACTTCCATTTCTAGGAGCTGTGGGTGTACCTTGGCTTGTAGCTAGATCCTCACGTAATGTCTTCCCCCTCTGTGTATCTGAAACTCTCTCCATATATATTCTTTCCTTTTATAAAACAGCATTCTGATTGGGGCTTTTATAAAACACTTAGAATTGGGACCTACCCTACTTAGGTATGATTTACTGGATAATATCTTCAACTAAAGACTCAGTTTCCCCAAAGAGGGTCATATTCATAGCAACAGAGATTAGGATTACAACATATCTTTTGGGGGGACACGTTTCAATTCACTGCCACTCATGCAGTACCCTTGGGGGCAAGTGGCCTCTTGCCACTGCCCCTCGATACCTTCTCCACTTCTCTGGCTCCTCCTCCTGGTTTGTCTGGTGATCCTTGTGGAAAGCAGAACTAGCAATCGCTGTGAGTATGAAAGCACTCAGGACAGCAACTTTCAGTTGTTCTTCAGTAAGTCCCAAAGAAAAGATGAGGTGATATCCCAGGAAGGAGAGGGGAGTGGACCCTAGAACTCTAGGAATTGGTTCTCTATATGGAACATTCTGGGTCTCTAGTTTTTGTCTTCTAGCCTTATCTGTATCATTGTGCTGACCTGAATCTGAATTTCCGGTTTCCACTTCGTGTTTCCCACTTGTGATATGAGATGCTTTCATAGGCTTCATCCAGAACAAAAATTCTGGACATTTAGTGCTTGACTGTAATTTAGTGCGTTCCACTATTGGTGGACCTTTGGGACACCTCTGCTTTATCCCTGGTTCCAAACTTGAACCCCTAACCTTGCCCAGTTTTGCACAAGGGGGAGGGGCAAGTTAACATGTGATTCTTGGACTGACCCTTTCAAGAACAGGCCCTGCACAGCAGAAGTCAGCAAGAAAGGACTGGAAAGTGATCTACTTAGGTGACACCACCTCTATCTTACCAGGAGAAGGTGAAGAGCCGGAGAGATCGCATTGCAATGGAGTTTGAGAAGATGTGCATTTTCCTGGCTGAGGAGGAGCAGCGCCTTCTCCAGGCCCTGAAGAAGGAGGAGGATGACACAGCAGAGAAGCTGCGTGAGAACAAGTCCATTCTGGACCAGCAGAGCTGCTCCTTGGAGATGCTACTCCTGGAGCTGGAGGACAAGAGGGAGCATTCGGCATTGCAGATGCTGCAGGTGAGGGGGCTGTGCCCGAGGGATGTAAAGAGGCAGAGAATTGTTGACCATTTTGGAATCAAGAGCCAGACTGTTCAACAGTTTTCTGTTCCAGTGCCTTGTGATCACAACACACTTATGAGGTCAGGGCCAGTGTGGTAAGATGTGGTCCCCCATCACTGAGATCTGGGGCAAGTAAGCCCAACATGGAACGACTCAAACCCAATTGAAACGTGCTCTTTAGTGTAAATGGCGATTTCTCATCTGTGATTCCTTCATCCCTTTCCTTCATCATTGTGGCCACATTTTGAAAAGGGACCCACAGCCAGCCAGGCACACACAACTTCATTGGCAGGAACTTGTCTCATGGCCACAGCTAGGAAAGGGTTCAGGGATGGCTCATTAGTTAGCCAGCGATGAACCTACATCTCTGTCTCCTTGGAAGATGCCAGGGTGATTTTGTCTGACAAGTGAATAACTCTAATACATTCAAGTGTATGTTTTGAAGGGAGTTTACAGTAAAATATACTTCATACTGTAATAACCACACATACATATATTTATATAAGAAAAACTAAAGTCGCATGAAACAGACACAATGTGTAGGGTGCCAGTGTGCCCTGATTTGCCTGGGATGGTCCCAGTTTGATGCCCATTCTCTTAACATTTATGGAATTTGTTCATAATAAAGGTGTCATGGTTTAGATGATAAATCATATAATCACTCTAACTTAGGGTAATATTTAAACTACTTTGTTGTTGTTATTAAGTGCTGATGTATAGTGACCCTCTGTAGGGTTTCTGAGGCTTTAAGTCTTTGTGGGAGCAGAAAGGCTCATCTTTCTCCCACAAAGTGACTGGTTGGCTTGAACCGCCAACCCTGTGGTTAGCAGTCCAATATTTATCCTATGGAGCCACCACTACTTTATTACTTTATTGAAAATCAATTTGTCTACAAGGCACTAAATGTATTTCATGACTTACTGAAAAACTCTTTAGTCCCCTATGTCTTCACTGGTCTGTCAGCAGGCTTTTGTGAGCAGGAATGTTTTCCTAGGTCTCCTCACTCCTCTATTATTTTTTTTTTTAAAACACTCAGGCATATATAATAATTTACACCACCAAAGGGCACATTCTGCAAGTCTGCCTTCTGGCCACCAGCTCTTAGTCCCTCTCTTCCTATGAATCTAGAGTCCTCAGCTGCTCCCTCTCTCCATATCCAACGTCTCTGCCTCCATCTCTGGTGTCCTGCTTCTCTGGAAAAGGTCCTACATTTTGCTTGTGCTCTTCTCCCTTGATGGTCCTAGAGTCCTTTGTTTCTGGACTGTAAGATTAACTACTCCCCAATTTTGTTACAAAACTTCTGCCTTTACAATTGTGACAGTTGCAAATAATCATGATAACAATTACTCACTACTGAATCCTTAGAATCTTATCCCCATCTCTATTAACTAGACCCATCTAGACAAGATGAAAACTATTCAGTGGGGATTCTTTCTTCCCCACACACTCTTAAACTAAACTCCCCCTTGAAACCTTGTAAGCCAGTCACTTCGTGCCTTTATTGCCCCCTCATTTTAGGTAGCCAATATCAAAGTTGCCTGTCCCTATCTACCCTGTGTACAGAGGGGATAGCATTGATACTTGATGTGAAGACGCTTTCCTCTCTGTTGATATTTAGAGTTACTACCCCCCATGAGTATAGATCAAGTTCATCAAATAGTATTAATTTACCCTTGTTGCCTTTATCAAAAATTGTTTTGTTCTTTTTAAAAAAATTCTTCCTCTAGTTGAGTTCCTCACTCCTCTTATAAGAGATAAGAGGAAGCCAGGTAGATCATGTAAGATTCCTATGCCAAGAGTTAGGATTAGGCTTTGGAATCTTAGAAATATGTACACTAGAGGCCTTTGTGAGGTTTGGTATGTTGCCTTTCTGTTATTGTTGTTTGTTAAGTGCTGTCAAGTTGGTTCTGACCCACAGTGATCCTGCACAGGGTTTCTAAGAATGGTGGGTAGGTTTGGCCGTCAACCTTGTGGTTGCCAGTGTTTATCCCACAGCACCAGAAAGGCTAGAATTGCAGTAAAAATGTGATCTTGAGAACCCCTGCTCCTGATTCCTAAGGAGACTGTACAGCACTTTGTCCCTGTTATCCTGTTTCCTTCTCCCTCCCATGCTGTCTTCTTGATGGGTGGCAGAGTCAAACCTATTCCAATCCCATTCCCATTCCACCCCCATTTGCATCACATTATGGCCTTACTAATTTTGGGTGGGTGTGTTGGTTTCCTAAGTCTGCCATAATAAAATTCCAGGAAGTGGGTGGTTCTAAAAACCAGAAATTTATTGTCCCACAATTCTGGAGTCCAGGAGTCTGAGATTGGGGTGTCAGCTGTGTTTATTCCTTCCAAAGCTCTGAAGCAGAATCTGTCTTATGCTTTCCTCCCAGTTTCTTGGTGACAACCAGTGATTCTTGGTTTGTAGATGCATCATCATATGTCTGTCCTTCCTATATCTGTGTATCTCTCTTTTATAAGGAGCTCTGGTAGCGTAGTGAATTCAACCACTCTATTGAGTTAGGATCAACTCTACTTCTGTATAAGGAGCTCTGGTAGCATAGTGGTTATGAATTGGGCTGTGAGCCACAAGGTCAGCAGTTTGAAACTACCAGCTGTTTCATGGGAGAAAGATGAGGCTTTCTGCTCCCGTAAAGACTTACAGTCTTGGAAACCCTGTACAGGGTCGCTATGAGTTGGAACCAACTCCACGACACATAACCACCACCACCACCTATTTCCATATGATCTCATGTTAAATGATAATATCATCAAAGAATACATTTCCAAACAAGGTAACTAAGATAGCTGTCTAGTGTTGCTATTGTTATTTAGTGCCTTCAATTTTGGTTCTGACTCATAGCAAACCTGTATAGGGTTTCTGAGGAGCGCTAGTGAGTTTGAACCACTGACCTTGTGGTTCAAACCTACCTTGTGGCCTAGTGCTTATCCTACAGTGCCACACAAAAATCCAACTAGATGGCTTTAATGAACAGAAATGTATTTTCTCAGTTTAAGAGACTAAAAGTGTGAATTCAGGTACTGGCTCATAGGAAGGCTTTTTCGTTGTGTTGGCTCTGGAGGGAGGTCCACATCTCTTTTCAGTTTCTGTTCCTTGGTTACTTGGTGAGCTTCATGTGGTCTGGCATCTGTCTTCCCCATGTGGGCTTCTTTGCTTCTGTGCCTAATCTGCTCTTTTTATATTTCAAAAGCAAGTAGCTTAAAACACACCTTACACTGACATAACAAAGAAACCCCATACGCAAATATGATTACATCCGAAAGTAGAGGGGTTGGAATTTACAAGACCTATTCTGTGAGGCTTTCTGCTCCTGTATAGAGTTATAGCCTTGGAAACCCTGTGCAGGGTCACTATGAGTTAGAACCGATTCCATGGTACTTAGCAACAACAACATTCTGAGGGCACAATTCAATCCATAACAGTTATATTCAGAAGTTCTATCTTTTGATTTACACAATTCACTCCATAATTGCTGTTGTTAAGTGTTGTTGAGTCGGTTCCGACTCATAGTGACTCTTTATAGAGTTTCTGAGGAGCAGTTGGTGGGTTTGAACTGTGGACCTTGTGGTTCACAGCTCAGTGTTGATCCTAGAGAGCCACATCAGGATAGTGGGTCAGTAAACTACCTGAGATAGCTAAGAAGACAAAGGAATTATTGCTCTAACTCACATGACTGTCAGATTTTAAAGCATCAAGTGTTCCTTTCCACACATGGCACAGTTTCCTGAACCTTTCCCTTCCTACTTACCAGCTGGATCTCACATGTCTGAATAGGGCTGAAAGGATGATAGTTCTGGGCTATGACGTGGGTGCTATCGAAGGTAGAGTTTGGTGGGAGGACAGCCCAGGGGGCCAGGTTGGGGATATAACAGCTATGGGGAGGAAATGTCTGGAAGAGATTGGAGGTTTTAAGGATGATGTGTAGGGAGGAGGGTACTAAGAGCTCTCATGATTCCTATCCTCTGTTCTTCTCACAGGATATGAATCATCCACTTGACAGGTATGTGGTTACTTAAGCTAACCTGGAGGCAGTGATGGGGACATGGGAGGGCCCTTCATAGAGCCAGAAGGGACAATGAGAACTCTGTTCACTGGAGGGTAAAGAACCTGACAACGCAGTATCCAGAGGCCATCCCTATTGATCTGAAGACGGTGTGCAGGGTACCTGGGCAGATAGAGGTACTCAAGTGTTTTCAAGGTAAGTGGGAGCCCAGGTTGGGGATTGGACAACACCCTGTCCTGCCCCACTAGCTCCAGGAGATCACCACCACACTGGGCCATAGTTCCCAATGAATACAATTTGTCCTGGTTCTCAAACTTCACTGTCGGACATTTGATCATATCCATATTCTGTTCTTATTGTTTTCTTTGTATACAGATGGCTATACCGAGACTCCACCTCATGGGAAATGGTCTTTTTCCCGTTAGTAAGGACGAAGATTATTGAGTTGTACAAATGGCCCATTCTTCTATCCCATTTCTTTATCAACATCAGTGTCCACAGTTAGGGTAAGGGATCATTAAATACCCATAGGCTCACTTACACAGGGGCAGAGTAAAATCTATGGAGCAGCCAGGCTTTTGGCCTTGGTTTTGTCACTGAACTCCAACACAACAGATTGAGATGGCCCAAATGGCATGATCCCAAAGATGAGGAAAAATTGTTTTCCAAGGAAAGACAACTAATTCTCAGGCTTGACTGTTGGTGTTAGTAGAGGGGAAACCTTTGTAGAAGTAGGGGGACTAAGAGGATCAGAGAATAGAGCCCTGATATTTGAGGATATGGCCATGAGACAACAATCTGCCAATTGCTAGGGCTCTCTCCATTGCACCCATAAATGTGGCCCTTTCAATTTTTATCCAAAATGACTTTGCTTCCTCCTGGCCCCATATCACCTGTAGAGGATGTGGTACCTGATGCTGTCACGGCATACCCCTACCTCCTTATGTACGAGAGCCGGCAGAGGTGCTACCTCAACTGCCCAGTGGATGCCATGCTCTGCAACAAGGACAGGTTCCTCGCCTACCCCTGCATGGTGGGCCAGACCGCCTTCTCCGAGGGGAGACACTACTGGGAGGTGGGCATGAACCTCACTGGGGATGCACTATGGGCTCTGGGCGTGTGCAGAGACAACATTAGCCGGAAGGAGCGCGTCCCCAAGTCCCCTGAGAATGGATTCTGGGTTGTGCAGCTGTCCAAGGGGAAGAAGTATTTACCTATGATCTCAACTGCTACCCCCTTCACACTGATGGAGCCCCCCAGTCATGTGGGGATCTTCTTGGACTATGAGGCTGGAGATGTCTCTTTTTACAATGTGAACAATGGCTCACACCTGCACACTTACTCCCAGGCTGCCTTCTCAGGCCCCCTCCAGCCTTTTTTCTGCCTTGGGGATCCTAAATCAGGCCAGATGGTCATCTCCACAGTGACTGCATGGGTGAAGGGATAGAAAACCAAGCAAGGGGGACAGCTAAGAATGCCCTCATTTCTATGTAAGGTGAGGTGCCTTCTGCTCACTCACAGGGCCCATGACCAAGGCTCACCAAGAATTATGAGGAGTGCCATTAGCTGTTCAGGACTGTTGTTTAGAAAGTCAAAATATAATCATGATTAAAGCAGTTGAACATCAAAAGATTGTATTTACAAGTGTTTAATAGAACTTTTGAAAGAACCCCCCTACATTTTATTATCATTGCTAAGGGCCATTGAGTCGGTTCTGGCCCATAGCGACCCTGTATAGGGTTTCCAAGGAGCGACCGATGAGCTTGAACCACTGACCTTGCGGGTCAGACCAACTTTGCAGTCCAGTCCATTAGCCCACAGCACTACACCAGGACTCCGTCATCTTATTATATACACATGTATGTTGCTGTTAGCTGCCATAGCATAGGTTCTAACTCATGATGATTCCATGAACAACAGAACAAAATGCTGCCTGATTCTATGATCAGCTGTGGATCAGATCATTGTGATCCGGAGGATTTTCACTGGCTGACTTTTGGAAGTAGATTGCCAGGCCTTTCTTCCTAGTCTGTTTAGTATAGAAGCTCTACTGAAATCTGTTCCACATCCCAGCATATGAAAACTTCCACCAACAGACAGGTGGTGGCTGAACATAAGGTGAATTGGCTGGAAATGAAACCTGGGTTTCCCACATAGAAGGTAAGACTACTATTGCTGAACAACCACAGCCGCAAATCTTTCTCCCATTGAGCAACTAGTGGATTTGAAATGCTGATCTTGCAATTAGCAGCCCAGCTCATAACTCACTGTACTACCAGGGCTCCTTGCCTCATATATATAAAATATATAAATGAAACCCAGGTTCCATTTCTAGCCAATGTACCTCATATATATATGAGCATGGTGGCTCCATATGATAAGCACTGGACTGCAAGGCGTAAGGTATACAGTTCAAACCCACCAGTCGCTATAAGGAAGCAAGATGAGCTTTCTGTTCCCACAAAGACTTAAGCACCATAGAGTCAGTTTTGACTCATAGCAACCCTGTATAGGGTTTCCAAGGAGCAGCTGATGAGCCTGAGCCACTGACCTTGTGGTTCAAACCAATATTGCAGTCCAGCGCATTAACTCACAGAGCCACACTAGGACTCCTGTATATGCATGTTGCTGTTGTTGTTGTTGTTGTTAAGTACTGTGGAGTCAGTTCCGACTCATAGTGACCCTACATAGGGTTTCCGAGGCTGTAAATCTTTACAGGAGCAGACTGCCTCTTCTTTCTCCCACGGAACCGCTGGTAGTTTCAAACTGCCGACCTTGAGGTTAGCAGCCCGATTCGTAACCACTATGCTACCAGAATTCCTTCTGTATATGCATATATCTGTATATATACATATACATGCACATATATTCATATATAAATATATATTTATTCATATTTATATAGTTGGACTCCTGGTGTGGCACTATAGGATAAGCATTGAACTGCTAACCACACTGAACTTTAATCCCATCAGCTGCTCCTTGGAAAACTCTATACAGGGTTGCTATGAGTCAGAACCCACTGGACAGTACTTAACAACAACATATATATTGGTTCTGACTCATAGTGACCTCATATATAATTGAACAAATTGTTGTGTGGTCTTGCTTCAACCTCACAATCATTGCTATGCTTGAGCCTACTGTTGGTCACTTTGTCTATCCATCTCATTGAGAGTCTTCCCTTTATTTCCTGACCCACTTTATCAAACATGATGTCTTTCTCAAGGGACTAGTCCCTCCTGATACAAAGTACATGACATAAAGTCTCACCATCCTCACTTCTATGGAGAATTCTAGCTGTACTTCATTTCAAGACAGTGTTGTACATTTTTTCAGGCAGTCAGTGCTATATTCAATATTCTTTGCCAACATCATAATTCAAATGCATCAATTTTTCTTTAGTCTTCCATATTCATTGTCCAGCTTTGCATGCATATGAGGCAGTATGACAAATTGACATGTATATATATACATATATATGTTGTTGTTAAGTGCTGCCGAGTCGGTTCTGACCCATAGCAACCCTGCACAGGGTTTCCGAGGCTGTAAATCTTTATGGGAGCAGAAAGCCTCACCTTTCTCCCATGGAGCAGCTGGTAGTTTCGAACTGCTGTGGTTCACAGCCCGATTCATAATCACTACATTATCAGAGCTCCTTTGTATATATTTGTTGTTGTCAGGTGCCATCGAGTCGGAACCGACTCATAGCGACCCCATGCACAGCAGGAAACAATGTCCGATCCTGGGCCAACCTCACTACCGCTGCCACACCTGAGTCCATCAATGATGCCACCTGGCCAATCCATCTCGTTAGGGGTCTTCCTCTTTTTCTCTGACCCTCCACCTTACCCAGCATGACATCCTTCTCCAGCGACTGTTTCCCCAGCGACTGTTTCCTCAGGACAATATGTCCAAAAAAATAATATATATATATATATAATGAGTCCTGGTGTGGCTGGCACTGTGGGTTAATGCGCCAGACTGCAAAGCCATTTGAACTTCAAGGTCAGTGGTTCAAGCTCACCAGCTGCTCCTTGGAAACCCTATACAGGGTCGCTATGGGTCCGAAGTGACTCAATGGCACTTAACAACAGCAACATATATGTGTGTGTGTGTGTGTGTATATATATCTTGTAAATCTAGGAGGCACAGTCTAATTTTTATTTAACATGCTCTTACTTAAGAATTTCTATGTAATTTAACTTGGTTTTTGGCTTATTTTAATTACAATTTGGCTTATTTAAATTACAATTTGGTGTCTACTCCGATCTTTGTCAAACAAATTCTGTCATTCTGTTTAAGTCTAAGGTCTGGGTCCTTCTTTGGGAGTAAAATGAATAATGGAACCTTTTTCAAGTTGAACCCTAAATGCTCCAGAGTTTTCCACCCCCATCATTTTCTGCCTCTTGAAGGTGTACGTGTTCAGGGAAAGAGAAAGGGAAACAGAGAGGGGCATTCCTCGCAGGAGAGTAGTTAAGATTCATTTGGGGGATTTCCCTTCTCTTCTTCAGAACCTTCTTCCTTCTCTACAGCAGTATCAAATCCATATATACAGCTATTGGATTTGAATTCATCCAGTGGCATTGCAGAAGAAAGACCTCATGGTCTGCTTCCCTAAATATTACAGCCAAACCCTATGGAGCACACGGGGTCTCCAGGAGTCAAAACTAGCTCCACTGCAATAAGTACAGTGTCATATGTGGGTTGAGTTCCGGATAACTGCAATATAGTAAACACGGCAATAAAGCAAATCATACGCAGGTTTTGGTTTCCCAGCGCATATAAAAGTTATGTTTATACTCTTCTGTAGTCTGTTAATGTGCAATAGCATTATGAAAAAGTTTGAAATATTGTGAGAATTACCAAAATGTGGCACAAAATGTGCACATGCTGTTGGAAAAACAGCATAGATAGACTTTCTCTACAGTTGCCACAAACCTTTCATTTATTTTTTAAAAAACACAATCATCTGTCAAGAGCAATGAAAAAAGGTATGTCTGTATGATGTTGCAATCAAGTTGATTTGGACTTATGGGGAGCCCATGTGTTAAGATAAGATCGGCGCTCGACTCTTCTTGGCTGTGACCTCTGAAAAACAGATCACCAGGCCTGTCTGTCACCTCTGGGTGCGTTCCACCATTTGTGCCATCTAGGGACTCCATTGGGTTTAACAGTCTGGACATGTGAGAGTTATTTCCCCTGGTGGTGGTGTGGGTTGCTTAGCGGATGAAAGATGAGGCTGTTTGTGCCCTTAAAGATTATATAGGGTCGCTATGAGTAGGAATCGAGTTGATAGCAATGGGTTTGTTTTGTTTTGGGGTGTTACCTGGAAGTGGGGGAGTCAGTATTCCTGAACAATTTGCGTTGTTATTTGGCTAAGAATTTGGGACCTATGGATCGCGGTGGGGAGGGGGGAGAAGGGGACCCTGTGGGCTCGCGGGACAGGAGAGGACCCGCCAGAGAGGAAGCCAGACGTGGGGCTCAGCCCTCACCAAGGCGCTCAATCAATTGAGGTCCTGTTAGGCACCCGCAGTCCAGCACCCGAACATGTACCCCCGCCCCCCGCCCTGCCCTACCCCGAAGATCCTAGCAGTAAGCAGGTCACAGGTAAACTTGGACTAGTTCCTTCAGGCACACACAGATCACGTGACAGGCCCCGACCAGTCAGAGGCAAAAGCGGTTGGTTCTAAAAAAAAAAAAAAAAAAAAAAAACACCACGCAGTCGCTTCCTGCTTCCGCCACACACGCCTCTTCCTGTTCGCGTCAGTAGAGCAGCGCGCCCCGCAAACCCCACGCCCTCTGTGAAGTTGGGGGCAGTGGAGGCCGCTCATTGCAGGTTCCGATCCGGCGCCCGGCCTGCCACGTTGTTCCTGCGCAACTCCTACACCATGGCCACCCCGGACCTGTCGGCCAATCTCCAGGAGGAGGCCACCTGCGCCATCTGCCTTGATTACTTCACGGACCCGGTTATGACCGACTGCGGCCACAACTTCTGTCGCGAATGCATCAGCCGCTGCTGGGGCCAGCCGGAGGGGCCGTATGCTTGTCCTGAGTGCCGGGAACTGTCTCCGCAGAGGAACCTACGGCCCAACCGCCCGCTCGCCAAGATGGCCGAGATGGCGAGACGCCTGCACCCACCGTCTCCAGTCCCGCAGGGCGTGTGCGCCGCGCACCGAGAGCCGCTGGCCGCTTTCTGCGGTGATGAGCTGCGTCTGCTTTGCGCCGCCTGTGAGCGCACCCGGGAGCACTGGGCACACTGTGTGCGCCCACTGCAGGAGGCCGCCGACGACCTCAAGGTGGGGACTGATGGGGGCGCAAAGGCTCCGCTCCAGCCTGTAGAGTGTGCGTCTTGGAGCGGGCCACGCGGGTCTGGAGAGTTTCTGGCAGACACTGGGAAGGGGCCAGGAGTATTAGACCAGAGGAGAACTTTGTATAGGGAGATGAGAAGTGGCAGGCCTTAGACCGTGTGGGCGCTCCTCAGGAGGACCGGAACAGGACAGGGACAAGTGCTGACAGGCAACTCTATAAATCCTCCCTGACTATTGAGGTTTGGGGTGACGTCACGGAGAGGGAGCAGTGAGGAAGCTGCTGCTGTGCCCCAGGGCCCAAAGATAGTAAAAAGAGGGAGACAGGTTCTAGAAAGACCTAGGTCCTTGCTGCTTCAAGGCTTGGGGTACCAAGGAGTGCCTCTGCTTTCAGAGTGATGGGTCAGAACCGCATTTGACCAACGCTCCCCTTGGCCAAGGCTGGTAGTCGTCCATATCTGCACCTACCTGCTGTAGTGTTTCTTTTTGGAATCCTAGATATTGCATACACTAGTAGTGTTTTTCAAAAGTTTGTAGCTGCCATTTGCATATTAGCATCCTGGTCAAATATGTATGTATGCTAAAGATTGCACCAAATACATAGATTAGCCTAATTACTTAAATCAATATTCAGCCCAAATATATCACTATCAGAACAATTTATGGAATACAATAATAAATTTGATCCTCTTGTTTTTCGGCTGTGAAGGTCCTTTAAGATCTTGATAAGTGGCTATGTCAAGACATGGCTTCTAACTTGTACTGAAGCATACCAGCACAAAAGAATGTCACACATTCTAAGTATCAACCCAGCAAATGTCCCCAGCTGCCCAGGTCAGAGTGCTGATAAAGTCCTCAACACCTCTCAGAGACTCTGCTTGCAGACCTCATGAAACAGTTCTTGACACTTTTGGTGCTATTGCTTATGTGGTTTTTTTCCCCCTTAAGGTTAGGGCTATCCCACCTGAATTCTTCTGTCTGCTCACTACCTATGGGCTTAACTGGCAGTTTGGAAAATCCTGCGAAGGAAGGTCCCAGTGATGCAGTCTGTAAAGCATTGGCTACTAGGTGCATGGCTGGCAATTCAAACCTACCAGTCACTCTGCAGAAGAAAGATGAGACTGTCAGCTCCCATGAAAATTTAGAGTTGGAAACCCTACATACTGTCGCTATGAAGTGGAATCAACAGGGTAGCAGTGGGTTTGGTTTGATTTAGGGGACCCAGAAAGAGCCACTCTATTGATGGAATCTGACATCTCAGCAGAGTGACTGTTGAGGAATCCCTGACAACATCTGACTTCCGAGGAGGGGCCCCTTCTCCCTGCCTTACCCTCTCCTGGCATCACAGACACAGACTGGTGCCCACCCTGGAGAAGCAGAAAAATCCCACTCTGACCAGTGTTTGTTAGATGAGAGGAAACAGCTGTGTGACCCAGAGGTTTCCCTCAAGGGTAGTATGGGCAGGCAGCACAGAGGAATAATATCTGAACTGAATTGAGCTGGTCCATTCTGGTAAGAGAGCATTTATATTCTGACAGTTTTTATGTTCTGTTCCTTGTTTTAGAGTTGTTGGTCATGACCCCTTCAATTGATTAATGACACACAAAGAGGTGGTGACTATAATTTGAGAAGCATTACTGAGAAGTGGAGGCATATAAGGAGAACTTGGGAGACATGAGTGTGCATGGAAGGGTAGGGATAAGCCGAGCAGTCCTGTGTTTTCTAGAGGAAGTTGGCAGAAGGAAGGGGAAGCCGTCCCAAGGGAGAGCATCCAGCCATGTGAGAGCGTCCAGCCATGTGAGAGCGTCCAGCCATGTGAGAGCTAGGAAGAGCTTGAGCTGAGTCAGTGGCAGCACAGGCAAAAAGAAGTGGAATTAGAAAAATTCTTCATGTTCTTGAAGTGCCTAACAGCAGGCCTGTGTCACCAAGTAGGGTATGATGTATGCATGTCCCAAGTGCCAGGAACTGCTGGTGCTCTCTGGTCAGGGGGCCTGGGTTCACATCCTGGCCCTGCCACCAGTCATGTGTGCCCAGGGCAGAGTTTTGGAGCCTCCCTATACCTCATCCCCCTTTGGAACATGGGTGTAGATAACAATCAGACCTCTTGGTGGCAGCTGACAAGAGTCTTTACAGTGCTGGACTCGGGAATGAGCACTAACCCACTACAGTCCAATCCGCTCTTGTTATAGTGACCTTTTGAGACCTAGGTCCTTTGGTGATTTTCGTAACTGATAAGTCTATCTTATTATGTTGAAACTAAATGCTCAGACCCTTGTAGAAAATAGTGGAATTATCCGTTCAGGCACACATAGTTCAGTCTGCTTGTTAAAGAATATAGAACTCTTTCACCATTACCTTGTGCAAATTTTTTGTGGATGCCTACGTCTATGGAAAAATAGAAACAAAGTCAGAAGCAAGGAAACAATGCAAATGTGTACATCCTATAGCTTATTGTGATTAAGCTGAACCATGACATGTATAGGATATGTAGAGGTGCTCAGGAATTTGGAAGAAAGAAGGCCACCTGTAATGAGAGCAGTGCCCATGAGAAGTTGATGTTCAGCTGGGACCTGTGAACTGACAGGACAGAGGAGGCTCTTTGAGCCAACATAGAAGGCAGAGTTGAGCTCAGTGCCTTAACCATCCAGCTGGGGAGGGGGTCACAAGTGCAGAGGAGTATGTGCCTACCTTGTCATGCTAGAGAACCCTTGGTCTTTTGGTACAGCCCTGATCTGAGCAGGTAGAGGTAACAGCAGAGGAATCCAGCAGAAGTGGTGTCGGCATTAGAATTGAGAACAGCAAAGTTAACCCATGTGAGAATGTTTGAAAGGAAAAGCCCTTGGTGACTAAGGGAAGGGTTGGGTTCTCAGTCCCTGATGAGATGTCATGGGGCCCATGATAAGGAGATCAGAGGAGAGCACGGTAATGCTGGGACTAGGCACAGTTGGGCATGCACTCTGGAAGGTCTTATCTCCCTCATTTTGAATAATTTTGATTTTTCCCCATAACCATCTGGCCATTGCCTTTCACTAATGGAGTTCTGTCCCCCCACCCTCCACGTGTGTGTTTTGTTTGTTTTATTTAGCCCATTGTTGCAGCCCCTGTGTCAATCCATTTTGTTGATGGTACAACAGACCTGAATTTTCTCTTGGACAACACATGTAGGAACTTGAGCCACTCATTACCAAAGTAGGGGAGTCAGTTTCAAATGCATGAACTTCATCCTGCTTGAATGTTGTCTAGGTAGAGCAGCTACAGAGACAGAACCCAGCCCAGAGGGTGGTGGGTCCTGGTGACTTTGTGCACATTGCTGAGAATGGGATGGGGGGAGGGTCTCAGTACCAGTCGCCAATCACTGTGCATTCACTCCCTGCAGGGGAAGCTGGAGAAGTCCCTGGAGCACCTACGGAAGCAAATGGAAGATGCATTGCTGTTCCAGGCCCAGGCGGAGGAGACCTGTGCCTTATGGCAGGCAGGTGGCTGGGCCTGCCCTGTGCTCCCCAAATCCCAGGATGGTGGGGCAGCTAGCAGGTGCTGTGGGACAGCTCTTGCAATGGAGACTCCAGCGTGGCACACAGGCATCCCTGTTCATTGGACCCTTACTATTCAGATTTCCACCTTTGAGAACCACCTCTCTGCTCTTGGGATTCTGTTCATTACCTTCAACTCAGGAACCGTTGTGGTCAGAAGTTGCTGTTTGTTAGGTTCCCCTGAATTGATTCTAACTTATGGTAACCCTCTGTATAACAGAGTGAACCACTGCTTAGTCCTGCCCCATCCTCATATTCATTGCTATGCCTGAGCCCTTTGGTGTAGCCACTGTGTCAATCTATTTCATTGACTTCTTTTCCCCTGACCTTCTGCTTGACCAAGCACGATGTCCTTCCCCAGGAATTACTCCCTTCTGTTAACGTGTCCAAAGTACATGAAACAAGGCTCACCATCCTTGATTCTAAAGAACATTCCGCTGTACTTCTTTTAAGACAGATTTGTTTATTTTGGCAGTCCTTGGAACATTTCAGTATTCTTTGACAACAGCATAATTCAGACATCAGTTTTTCTTGGGTCTTTCTTATTCAGCTTTCACATGGCCTGGGCCAAGCACCATAGTCCTCAAAGTGGCATCTTTGCTTTTTAACACGATGAAAAGAAGTCTTTTGCAGCAAATATACCCAATGCAATACATCATTTGCTTTCTTTACTGCCTTCTGTGAGCCTTGATTGTGCTTCCAAGTAAAATGAAATCCTTGACAGCATCAATCTTTTTTATTTTTACATTCAACAAAAAACACTTTGCTTCATCTCAATAGTTTCAATCCCCTCCATGGGACAACAGTCATCTCACTTCCTGCCTGTGGTTCCTATCTCCATTCCACCTGCATGCTTATCCCTTCTCACCTTTGCCCATCAATACGTGTTGCTTCTTTGATTTTAGATGATTGACCGTTTCATCATTCATAGTGAATGTACCTTATTAGTGCTGTTGTCCCCACTATAGAACTGTATACTGCTTGGCTGGAAGTTGGGCCACGAGGGTGAGTTCCTTTCCAGATCTGAAGTGTGGTCAAGAGCCATAGTCTCAGGTTCCTCCAGTCTCTTTCTGACCAGTAAACCTGGTCTTTTTTTAAAAATAATTTTGAGTTCTACATAGTCTGCCATTTCATCCGGGACCTAATGTGATCCCTTTCAGAGCAGTTGGTAGTGGTAGTGGGCACCATCTTGTTCTTCTGGTCTCAGAGTCGTGGAGATTGATGTTCACATGTTCCATTAGTCATTGAAATAATTGATTCCAAGCATCTTCATTTCTCATCTCTCTTCTTTCTTCTGCACGTGGAGGGACCAATAGCTGCACCTTAGATGACCACTCATGAGCTCATACTATCCCAGATGCTACTCACCAAAGTAGAATGTAGAACATTGTCTTTGTGGACTATATTATGCCAATTGGACGTGATGTCCCCTCTGAGACTGTGGTCCCGAGCTCCCAGACCCTGCAACTCATTGCCTTAAGATGTTTGATATCACAGGTTGTTAATGAGTCTTCCTTCAATTTTTTTAAATGCTATATTGTGAAATAAGGTTTACAGAGCAGATCAGTTTTACATTAAATAGATCATATACTTTGCTTCATTACAATGATTGCAAATCCCTCCATGTACCATCAGTTAACAATGTTGAACTCCGTTCCCTTTAACTCTTGCATTCCTCCCTGTGTCTCTCACTACCTTCATCTTTCTTTTGCCAGCCTCCTCCTTGTTGTATATTGTCTGCCCTAGCACCCATGTTGAACTCCTGGTATGACTGGTTATGAAGATTTCTGGTAGACTAATGTTGGTCCAGGTGTGTCTGCAGGATAGTGCGCTGGACCGTAAGGGCAGTTTGAACCGCTAGTTCAGTGGTTCATACCCACCAGCTGCTCCTCCGAAACTATACAGGATCGCTATGTGCAGGAACCAACTTAATGGCACTTAACAACAACAGTAATGCTGGTATGGTGACTCGAGTTTCTATAGGTCTGGAGCTGAGCCTGCCTGTATCTAGGTACCAAAGTGGAGTAGCCAGCCCCTACTTCATACTGTCTCTGAACTTCTGGAGAGGAGGGTCTGTGCAGGGGGTGGATGGATGAGGGTAGGGACCTAGCCACAACTTAGATTAGCAGGGGAGTATAGGGAAAAAGAAGGAATCACACCTTTCCCGACGTCTGTGTGAATCTGCTCTGCCAGGCCACCTTCTGTCACCAGAGCTGCTCACAGAAGTTAAAGATGGTCGCACCGCATCTGGCTGGCCGTTCACCCGTCACTCTCCCTCTCTTTCCGTTCTGCTCAGCTTCTACTCCCAGCAAGCACTCAATCCACTTGTCTAACCTTTCCTCTGAAGTTCAAGGTTGCAGGATTTTCACCTGTGTCTCTTTCATTTGGTCTCTTACCGACTTGACGCCACTTAACAACAACAACAGTTTTTGTTGTGGGTCTGTGTGGTGCGTGCGTGTAGTGTGTCTGCCTAGTCTACCATCTTGCCAGAAGTCTTTCTCCAGTTTTGATGCCGCATTCTTCTTAATATAGTCCAGCCTCTTGGATTATGTGCTCAGCATACAGATTGAATAAGTATGGTGAAAGAATACAACCCTGATGCATATCTCATGATTTTAAACCATATAGTATTTTCTCCTCGAATGAATGCATCTTGGTCTGTGTTCAGGTTCTGCATGAGCACAGTGAAATGTTCTGGAATTTCCAGTCTTCACGATGTTGTCCATAATTTGTTATGATCAACACAGTTGAATGCTTTTGCATAGTCAATAAAACACAGGTAAACATCTTACTGGTATTCTCTGCTTTTAACCAGGATCCTTCTGACATCAGCATGATATCCCTGTTTCCAAGTCCTCTTCTGAATTCACTTTGAATATCTGGATTTGCTGCAACTGTTTTTTGATTAACTTTATCAAAAATTTTATTATATGTGATATTAATGCTATTATTCTATAATTATCTCATCGTTCTTTGGAATGGACACAAATATAGATCTGTTCTGGTCCATTAGCCAGGTAGCTTTCTTCCCAATTTCTTGGCATAGATAAGTGAGCGCTTCCAGCGTTATATCCTTTGTTGAAGCGTCTCATTAGATACTCCATCAGTTCCTGTACCCTTGGTTTTTACCACTGCCTTCATTGCAGCTTGTATTTTTTCTTTAATACTGGTCTTGATCATATGCTACCTCCTGAAATGAGTTAAAGAAGGCTTGGTGGGTTAAGTGTTAGATTGTTAACCAGAAGGCCAACAGCTCAAATCCACTAGCCATTATGTAGAGTAAAGATGAGACTTAAATTTCCATAAAGATTACAGTTTCAGAAACCCTATGGAGAAGTTCTCCTCTGTCCTATGGGATCACTATGAATTAGAATTGACTCCATGGCATTGAGTTCAGAAATGGTTGAACAGTGACCAGTTATGTGTGCTACAGTGACTCTCTATTCCTTCCATCTTCTTGATCTTCCTGCATTAATATTTTACCCATTGGGTCCTTCAATATGCAACTCAAGGCCTGAATGTTTTCTTCAGTTCTCTCAGCTTGAGAAATAACAAGTGTCTTCTTCCCTTTTGGTGTTCTAACTCCAAGTCTGCACATTTCATTAACATACTTGACTTTGTCTTCTTAGTGGCCCTTTGAAATCTGTTCATCTCTTTTACTTCATCATTTCTTCTGTATACTTTAGCTACTCTCCAGTCAAATAGGAATTATACTGTCCAGACTCACTGCTGAGCTTTCATTGAATTCAGGAGCTGAAGAGAGCCAGATAAGGATTTTGATACAGTGCTGGTATCCTTTGCTCTTAGACTATTTCTACTTGCTGTTCAGAACTCAGGGATCAAGGAGAATGGGATAATGTAGCACCTTATTAGCAGATTGCCCACCCTCTCCATACAGGAACTACGTAGATTTAGATGTTACCTGTCTGACTTGCATATCTGATGAGGGAGGGGTGTGTGTGTGTTCCAGTCTGACTAGGGAGTTGTGTGTTTCTTGTCCCAATCGTTTGTGTGTGTGTGTGTGTGAGTTGCCTGTGTGATGAGGGAAGTGTGTGTGTATGTATGTGAATGTATGTTAGCTGTCTGACCAGGGAGGTGTATGTGGGGAGGTGGGGGGTTGTCTGTTTAATGAAGGAGATGCTGTATGTCACCTACTAGGCAGAGCCTGGCAGTGCTGACTAGTTATTTGGGGGTCAGGGAAGAGACCAGAGTATAGGGTGCCTTGAGTCTCAAGTGTCCTCTTCTCCCGTGTGCAGAAAATGGTTGAGAGTCAAAGGCAGAATGTCCTGACAGAGTTCGAGCGGCTTCGTCGCTTCCTGGTGGAGGAAGAACAGCAGCTGCTGCAGAAGCTGGAGGAGGAGGAGCTTGAGGTGCTGCCCCGGCTGCGGGAAAATGCGGCCAGGTTGGTGCAGCAGAGTGCCGCACTCGGGGGGCTCATTGCTGAACTGGAGGGGCGCTGCCAGCTCCCTGCACTGGGGCTGCTGCAGGTGAGCCACCTGGTGGGGCCACTGAGGTCAGGGTAGGGTGTGGGTCAGGAGGCAACTGGCTGTCTGTTCATCCCTCTGTGAATGAGCCTGCAAAGGCCCTGCTGTGTGGCACTGTTAGAGTACAGCAGTGATGGGCAATGCCACACATTCATCAGGTGAGGACCAAGCAAGTAGGGGCTGGGATGATGAGAAGGTGGGGAGGCAGGTGGGATAAGAGGAGAGGAGCGCCTTTCATTCCCCTCTGAGTGCAGAGAAAAAAGAGGCAGGAAGGCAGGCCTCTGAAACATCTGTGGGCTTCACCTCCGAAATCACCTCTGTGCTCACCCACTCTGGCCTGCACCTCAGTCTTCCACTAGACTTCCGGTTCCAAGGAAATCTGCACATGCCTCTCTGGGACCCTGCAGGTCAGTCCCTACAGATGGTTTTCATCCTTCACCCCTGCCATCCTTACACTGAAGTGTCTGTATGCCCTCAGCCCCTTCTAGTAGGTGGTCCTCTACCACATGGGGCTCACTCCTCCCTTGCACTTGGGCTTTACTCAGCAGTGCCCCACAAGCCAAAACCCCAGGATCGCCTTTCTCCCTATGACCTCTAGGCAGGTTAGGGGAACAGTGAAGAGTGTGCTTGCTCTGCCACCAAGCTTGTCATCTCAGGGCCTTGGTTTTCCATTTGTGGGATAGATGACTATGTGGACTTCACAGAATGTTGAGGAGTGAGTGAGTGAAAACTCCCCGCCCAGGGCCCAGTGCATATTAGGGGCTTTATGTGGTTGTCATTACCCCAGCCCTCATCTTTCTGGACTTTTCACCGAACAGATGGAGTGAAGGCTGCTATATATTCTGTGCTGGTGCTCTGTGGGTGTGAGTATTGGAGTGAGATTTAGCCCTGCCTTGAGTCGTTCAGGTGCGAACGCTGAGAAAGGTTGCATGGATGTTGGAGGATGATTGGAGGGTGACAAGCTGCCCAGGACTCTTCAGCAATGCCCCAGGGGAAGTCACCTCTGCAGAGCTTCCAAAGCTGAGCCAGTGTTTCAGGAATCAAGAGAGGACTTCCAGCTGCTGTCCCTGGGATCTTCAACTTGATCCCGAAGCCTCTGCTGAGCCACCAGCTGAGTTTTAGCTTGGACAGCAGAACTGACCATCAGTAATAATCTGCAGGCTGGATGAGGAAAGCCCAGCCTTCAGAGAAAAGGGCTGTTCTTGGATCTTGGAGACACTGAGATTTGAAATACCAGGCTGAGGAGGAGCCAATGGGAGGCTTGGGTAGGGTACGGGGAGAAGGCAGTGAAGAAAGATACCAGATAGAACAGGAACTTATAGAAGATGGAAAAGACTGACTGAGATGAAATTGAGGTCTGTCTTGAAGGTTTTATTTGGCATCTTAGACAGGTAGATCTCAGCAAGGGGTGATCTTGGCCAACCTTTTCCTATTTTTCCCATACAGCTGGCCTGAGTCTCTTGCTCCTGAGTCTCTTGGCTCTCTGATGTTCAGCACCCCCTCCACAGTGATCCCCTGTCTGTGTCTGCCCCTGGCAGAATGTTGACAAGGACTCGCCTAGCCACCCTGAGGCAGCCACCCAGGTGCCCAGGCTGAGGGCTCCAGGGAAGTGAAGGGATTGCTGGCATTGCCTACTTCTGTGGGAATGTAGCTTCATCAGAGAAGGGGCAGATGGATGAAGGGAGGAGGCAGGAGGTTGTGCAGGTCCATGAAGTAGAGAGGGAGATGGAGTGAAGGCTCAGTGTTCTGAGAAAGGGAACACTTGGTGGGCTTCCTTCCTGGGAGCCATGCCAGGGGCCCAGCCTCGTATCTAGGGCACCTTTGGGTCCTTGAGTTTATAATGAAATGAGGTCCCACAGGCAGGAGGCCAGCAGTGCAGGGGTGGGTCAGGAGCGTGCTAGTGTGGCACAGATGAGGCTTCATGTCTGACTTGGACCCAGAGCTGCCCTCTCCTTGCTGTGGCCCTCTCCAAGCCTCACTTCCCTAACTGAATCTATCCTGGCATGTGCCCCAGGCTGCATGAGGGTAAGGGAGAGCAGGATGGCAGTCCCAGGCAGTGCCGTCCATGAGAACTGCTCTTCTGGTGCGTTCACCTCAGCCACCCATGTCCACTGAAGGCACTGAGTGCCCAGGTCTAGACCCTGACCCAGGTGGCATACAATTTGTAGACAGGCTAGTCAGTGAGACAGGGTTTCAGTTGACTGAAACCATACAGTTGGGTACCCATAGCAGCAGCAGAGTTTGGGGCTAGCTGTCATCTCCAGTCCTTGGGATTGTTGAGTGGTTTTACAGAAGACATATATGTTAAGTGGCTGACTTGGCAGTGGTAACATGGTCTTCAAGGTGGGCTCTCTGTCCGCTTGTGGTGAGGGTCGGGTTTGCTGGTCCTCAGTGCAGGACAGCATTGTCGACATGACTCAGCCTTGTGAACAACTGAACACACTCTGCCCATTCCAGCTGTCTCTGGGACAGACCCCATCTAAAACCACTGCAGGATGGGCTGTTTGTACCACAGGCCCTGTGCCCAGTCCTGCAGCACAGCTCCCTCTGCCAGCATCATCTTTTATTCGCCTGGTGAGCTCCAACTCAGGCTTTGAAGGCCAGTGGCAGCCTCTCTTCTCTGAGGCCTCATGTGCCCCCTTCTTCCTCAGACAGAAGTAATTTCTGTATGTTAAAGCCTTCTTTCACTGTGTCCGCTGCCTGGAGGGGATCCTTGTCAGGACTGTATCTTATTCATCTTGGTGTCTGATATGGCATGGGCTATGTCTGTGGCATTCAGTAGACACATTCACAAATGAGTGTTAAGTCCCTGTGTATGCGCATCCTGAATGCTTTGAATCCGCTGAGCCATGTGGGATACTGCTGTCTGGGTTGGGCTTGTGGAGACTGGCTGAACTCTAGCTCTGTGGTACCCCCAGGAATGTGCACCCCCTCAGTAGCCATGAACTATCTCTCTAATTCCCCTGTGTCTGAGCAGAGACCTAGGAAGTCTTGGCCTTCCATTTGTTCTTGGGATAGTCTTTGTGCAGTTTTCTGGTGTATCTGTGTTTCTGTTGCCCAGGAAGCTAGGAGAGAGGGATCAGGGACTGGGTTGCAGGGAGGGACCCTTGGGACTGGGTGCTGGTGGTAGCTGTGGCACTGACTGCCACGTGTGTCTTTCCCCACAGGATATCAGGGATGCCCTGCGCAGGTATGAGTCCCTCTGCCCCTCCCTGGGGAGGCGGGCTGGGTGCGGGTGGGGGTTCTGCCTTGGAGGGTGATGCCTTTGCTTCACCCTCAGGATCCAGGATGTGAAACTGCAGCCTCCAGAGGTGGTGCCCATGGAGCTGAAGACTGTGTGCAGGGTCCCTGGGCTGGTGGAGACCCTGCGGAGATTCCGAGGTAGGTGCAGTGGGTTCCTGACCCTTGACTACACTTCTCCCCAAAGGCTGCTGTTAGGGTGAAGAGGAAGGAAGGCTTCAGGAGTGTGGGGCCTGGTAGCCAGGCTAGCACTGCTTCTTGTTACTCACAGAGCTGTAGACTCTCAGAGAATACAGACCAGCCAGTAGCACTCCATGGCTGCCCCACACTGGGCTCAGGTGAACAGGGTGTGTCTACAAGAAAAGGTGTCCTTAGTCTTCTCTCCTTGGCAGGTAGAGGTAAAAACTAAGAGAAAGCAAAACTAGGGTGTCTAGGAGGAGGAAAGGGGGCAGGCCCAGAGTTGTCACCTGATATGTTTAGGTGAGGGGTTGAAATGTCACACAGAACCTGGACCTTCCACATCCCATCAAGCATCCATCCAGTGTCAGTGTCCTCTTTTACAAGGCACCTCTGGACAGTCCTTGTTCACTATCAAGAGAGGGCAGCTTGGCTTGACGAACTAAAAGTGACACTAAAAACCAGTCAAGAAAGACTTGTGGTTATTCTGAGTTGCAACTAAATGTGGTTGATGACTTTTTTTTTTTTTTTTTCCAGCAGAGCAAGGAGGGGAAGGGCTCACTGGAAGGGGAGGGCAGATGGGGAAAGGAGGTTGTGAAGGTGGATAAACCTGGGAAGAAATGGATGTAGGTTGTCTTGCTCAGACTCTTTGGGAGAGGTGAAGGATGGCTTTGTAATGGCATACACTTCATACCCATGTGCCATGTGTGGAGATCCTGGGGTCACCGGGTCTTTCTCTGTAGGGGATGTGACTCTCGACCCAGACACCGCGAACCCTGAACTGGTGCTGTCCGAGGACCGGAAGAGTGTGCGTCGGGGCAACTTGAGGCAGGTGCTGCCTGACAACCCCGAGAGGTTCGACCCCGGCCCCTGTGTGCTGGGCCACTCGCGGTTCACTGCAGGACGCCACTACTGGGAGGTGGAGGTTGGGGAGCGGGCCAACTGGGCCCTGGGTGTGTGTAGGGAGAATGTGAACAGGAAGGAGACAGGTGAACTGTCAGCTGGCAATGGCTTCTGGATCTTGGTTTTTCTGGGGAGCTATTACAACTCACCTGAGCGGGCTTTCGTTCCCCTCCGGGACCCTCCCCGGCGTGTGGGGATTTTCCTGGATTATGAAGCTGGACACCTCTCTTTCTACAGTGCAACCGATGGGTCACTCTTGTTTATCTTCCCTGAGACATCCTTTTCTGGGACGCTCCGGCCCCTCTTCTCACCTCTGTCAAGCAGTGTGACCCCTCTGGCCATCTGCCCAGCAAAAGGAGGGCCTGGGGACACACCAGTTCTCTAGTGGTGTACCTGACACCTGGTCATCTGCAGAGCCCCATGTGTGTGCGGTACTTTGTGGGAGCTTCATTTTGCCTCTCACAGCTCCGCATTCTGTATTCCTGGCTCCTTGGAAAACTTGCAAGGATGGAGCACGTTCTCTGAGTTGATGGGCAGAATCTCAGATCACTTCTCTGATTGTACATAGTGAGACATGGACTCTGAAGTTTCTGAAAAGTGTGTGTAGGGGGCGGTGCAGGGTGGGCACAACCTGGATCCTCCCCATCAGACTTTCCAGACACTGGTGTGACACCTCATTCACCTGCGTTTTACAATAAGACACTCAACTTGGTCCCTGGGAAGGACCATCCTAAGTATTGTATAGTTTTGAGCATTCCTGTCAGCCCACTCAGGGCTGACCGCCCTTGTCAACAACCTCATCCTCATGGCTCTTGGGCCTGACTGGGCCACCTTGAGGGCTGAGGGCATCAGGCCCCCCAGAAGCTGCTGTTCTGGCAACCTCAGGGTTGCAGTCCCACATGCTGAGTGCTCCACCCTCCAGAAGGATAATGGGGTGGCGGGCGCCGCCTCCCAGCCTGGTAGCTGATCTCAGGGTATGTTAGTAAGATGTGATCATGGTACAGCAGTTATCAGGGAGAGCCAAAGGTCAAGAGGAAATACGGATGAAGCCCTTGCACGAAGGGACTGAGTCACTAGGACATGCCAGGCCCCCTTTAAGGCTTAGGTATCCTCCTTTAGAATGTCTAGGCCACTTAGGTGCCTTCTGGTCATGTGTACACAGGTTCCCATGTGGTCAGTCTGTGGGGCCCAAAGGGAAGATCGGAATGTGGGGGTTGTACTTTACACAGTGACTTGTAAACTTAGTTATATTTTGGGGACTTCCAGAATATGTCCTTGAGAAAGACGGCCTTGCTTTGCCCTGACACATTCTTTTGCTGCATCCATCAAATGCCAGTCACCAGTCTCTGATGGCAATCCTTCCTCGATATCCTAGTTCATCATTCCCCTACCTCACCTGTTATGCTTCATCACCATCAGTGACGTCAGTGACGTTGGGGAAGGGATTTCACCACACCATGTGTGATTTCCTTATTGATGAAATGGGATGTAGTGATAGTGACTGCAGGGCCATCGTGGTTACATGAGACATTGCTGTCCAAAAATTGTCAGCTGCTATTTCTGGGAAACCTGGCTTGAGCCAGCCTGGCACCAGTTTCAAAACCAAGGTTGGAACTTGGAGATAACTCCAGTAATGAAGTTATCTTATAACTCAGTGAACCCTCGTTACACACAGGGCACTTTGCTAAGCCCTTTGCCCGAGTCTTCATCAGAGGAGGGTACTGGGGCCTCTCCTCTGCCCTGTCTCCTTCCTGGAGGAGGATGAGCAGCTGCAAAGAGCCCCGACACATACAGGACCCACAAGTTTATCTTAGCTCTGTGAGGTTTGGGGTTTCTTCACCCTAAGTTTCTCTTTTTACCGTACATTTTATTTATTGTAAGAACAGTGTTCTAACATTAAATAAATTTTAACATTTGTCTGTAGCCTTGTCCATTGTTTATGCCCACATTAAATAGTGGGGCTTTCAGAAGGCTGGCCCCAGGGGTGGGTGATGCTAAGGCCAGATGCCAGACTTTGAAGGAGGGAGGCTTAGCTAAATTCCAGGGCCAAAAGCTCAAAATCAGACTGGGTTGAACTTTTCTTTGCTCAGTATGTGTATTCATTTTACACAGGAAGTTTTATTTTTCAAATATCCTTCCATTGTGTTTAGTAGTTTTTCATTTAGTTAATCATTTACTACTCATTTTCCCATTCTTAAGTGTTTTTCTTTCTTTGGTTGCTATTAGATATAATAGTATTTGGAATGTTGTTACCAACAATTCCTTCAAATCATTTGCAGATTATTTTCTCAGTCAAGCCTAGGGGTCTGAGTGTTTTTAGGACCTGGGTAAATGTTGTTATATTATTTTCCCAAGACATCATGTTTGTTTCTTCATGTCCTGTTGAGATTTATGAGACTGCTGCATTTATTCATGCTGAACATGACCATTTTGCAACTTCCAAGGTAGCCACTAATCTGATCACCCAGACAGTGTGACAGCCTCTTTGGTAAGACACAGACACAGCTGCTCCAACAGTGCCGCTATGCACAACACCAGCTTCACAGCAAAGTAGAATGAAATTAAGAGAAGAGTCTTCAGTAGTTACTGTCACTGAGCACCCAAACCCTCTTCCATTGAATGATTCCGACTCAGCATTTCCTAAGCAGAAGGAGACTACATCTCTCCCACCTCCCACAGTGTGGATGGTGGGTTCAAACCATTGACCTGTCAGTTAGCAGGCCAGTGTTAAGCACAGTACTGAATTCTCCCTTTCCAGATGTTCTCACTAACTGCCCTGTGTGTACCAGGGGCTGAAGAGAGCAGTAAGCAGTGAACATGCAAATGACTGACTTTAGGGTAGAGCTGACTTTAGTGTGGATGTGAGGTAATAAACTAAACAAAAGTCTTACACTATCAGGTGAAAACTGAAGTAGCAATGGGAATTAGGAAGCATCCAGGAATGTGGCTACAGTTCCAGGTGCTTCCAATAGGCAGTGTTTGAGCCTACCACTGTGTCACTGCTTTAAAGCCCTTCCTCTCAGGAGGCCCAGCAGTTCAATGGGAGACAATGGAAAAGTAGGCATGTAAAATGTAAACCATATTCTGGGTTGTGATCAATGCTATGAAGGAAAAAAAAAAAGCATAATAGAGAACTCATGAAGGGGGTGGGGTGTTATTTGTAGTACTGCATTGTGGAATATAGAATTCCCGGGAGGCGAAAGATTAAGTACTGGACTTCTAATAGAAAGGTTGATGATTCAAACCTTCAAACCTACCCAGAGGTGCCTCAGAGGAGAGACCTAGAAAGCTTTTGAAAAGTCACAACTTTGGAAAATACTGTGGAGCAGTTCTCTGCATACATGAGATCTGTAAGTAGCACAAGTTGTTTCCAGCTCATAGTGACCCTGTATAGGGTTTCCGAGGAATGACTGGTGAGCTTGAGCTGCTGACCTTATAGTTCAAACCCACTTTTAAGACCAGCGCATTAACCCACAGCCCCACACCACAGGACTCCATTGTGAATAATGTTAAGTGCCGTTGAGTGGGTTCTGACCCCTAGCGACCCTGTATAGGGTTTCCGAGGAGCAGCTGGTGTGCTTGAACCACCGACCTTGCACTCTGGCACATTAACCCACGTTGCCACTCCATATTGTGAATAATGAGTATGGTAAAAAAAAAAAAAATTTCAGGACATAAACCAAACTTAGTTCAATCATGGTAATCCCAGCCCATAGCAACCTTGTGGAACATAAGAGAAAACTTGATAGGGTTTCAGAGAGCTTTACAGGGAGAGCATCTTTCTTCCAAACTGGTGGGTTTGAAACCCCCACTTTGAGATTAGCAGCCCAAGCCTTAACCCACTGTACCAGTTAATTCCAGTCCATTCCCATACACGTTTCTTAGGTGTTTTCCAAATTTGATTGTCGATGCATTTCCAAAAATAGGTTAAAAATAAAGGATAGTTGTTAAATTATAGTGGCCTACATCTTACTCTTGTTTATGCTGTGTGTGATTTGAATAGAGGTAAATCTTACTAGGCACATGAAATTACAGGTTCAGGAAGATTATAAACTGCCTGGAATAAAGAGAATTCTTAAAAACTTTATTGAGGTTTAACTTAACCACAAAATCAATTTATTTCAAGTGTATAATTCAATGTTTTAATAAACTTACCATGTCCTGCAAGTGCACCCGTCACCCAAACAGAACCTTTTCTGCCCATGAACTCCCTCTTAATCCAGCCCTCCACCTTTCGGGACGTGTGCACGGCTCAGGGCTGGGCATTAGATATGAGGTTTCCGGAGTTGGGTGCTGCCACCACCCTTCCTACTCCGCAGATTTGGGGCGGGGCGGGCGCCGAGCCCCTCCTGCTACAAGAACGTGAAACCGAAACAGTCCGGCGGCGGCGGCGCCATGGCCACGCAGAGCCTGGCTCGGGACCTGCAGGACGAGGCTACCTGCCCCATCTGCCTCGACCTCTTCTCCGAGCCTGTGTCCCTCGGCTGCGGCCACAACTTCTGCCGAGCCTGCGTCGATCGCAGCAGGGGCGTCCGGGACGCACCGTTCCCATGCCCTGAATGCCGCGAGCCCTGCGTGCCCGGCAGCCTGCGGCCCAACCGGCCTCTTGGGAGGGTGGCTGCAGCTCTTGGGCGCCTCGGGCCGGCACAGGGCCGCGAGGAATCCTGCGACCTGTGCAAGGAGCATCTGGAGCCCCTGAAGCTCTTCTGCCACAGTGACCACAGCCTCATCTGCGTGGTGTGCGACCGCTCCCGAGAGCATCGAACTCACCGCGTGGTGCCCCTGGAGGAGGCGGCGCAGACCTACCGGGTAAGCACAGGGAGACCCTCAGTGCCTGAACCTCTGCCCTGCCAAGGTTCCCTGGGTGCCTTGGCATTATCTCACACTGCTCCTGGGACCCTCTGCCTGGCCCCACCCCACCTCACGTCCAGACGCCCAGCTTCTTCCAATCCCTGCCTGCTGGTGATCCTTGGCCCTGAGGCCTTCGGCGCTGGGATCCTGTGCACTGGGTCTCTCAGCGCCTAACCTGCCAACCCCCGCTCAGGCTCCTCCGTGTGCAGCCCTACAGCCATACTGGATGGGACCCACGCAGGCCCTCCTTGCCTGGGACCCTTGTCTTCTGACTCCACCATTACCACCTATGTCCCTCTTCCACGACCTGTGAACTTCTAGGCAGGACTTGGCTCTGTCTTCCCCCTGGCCTCTGTTCAGTACTCCTCATCTCACCTTTTGGGACCCTCATCCAGACGCGTCCTGATCCCGGTTTTGCTTTCTTATGCCTATCTCAGACTTTGCATACGTGTACACACTACACACACAAACACACATATTCTCAGGTACTGCCACACTTGCTATATCCCCTCCTTCACACACACATACACACACCACCCTCCACCCTCAACTTCACCCTACCCCACTTCTGGCCTTGCTTACTTTGTAACTGCTGGCTCAGCAGCCTGATATAGGCTGCTTCTAGAGTAAGCTTTCTGGAAGTAAGGCAGAGGACTGGGCCTATTATAGTTAGAACACTGACATCCTACTTCTCCAATCAATAATAACGATAGCTTATTCACTTACCTAGCACCAGTTGCATGCCAGGCACTATTCTAACTTTTTCACATGAATTAATGCAGTCTATGAGGTAGAAATGAATATTTCCAGTTTACAGATGGGAACACTGAGGTACAGAAAGGTTTTTTGCCAGCAGGCAGTCTGATTCTAGAAGAATTGCACCTTAAATTTGCATTTTCCCAGAAGAATGTGGGCTCTCCCAGCCCCCTCTTCATTTAGGTAAATATAAAACTCACAAAAATGCTGAAGAAAAAACAAACAAACCCCAGAGCATTGTGAGTTCAACACTGGTGTACCCTTCACATTTTGCCATACATTCAGTCTCGTTCTCTCTCTCTCCTTATGCTTAGATTCAGGTTAAACATTCTACAAGAATCCTGCAGAGGTGATGTTGTTAACACTCCATATAGCTTCAAGTCAAAAGGTCCATGATGCAGGTTGATGCTGTGTGACCACTTGATTAAGGTGGCTTCTGTCTGACCTCTTCATTGTACAGTACGTTTTCCCCTTTGTAACAAGCCATCGGTGGGATGAGGCTTTGAAACAGTGGGTTTATATCCTGTTTCCCAACACCCTATCATCCAATAGTCTGAATTGACATTAATGCCTGAATTGATTATTATTGCTGTGGCATTGTAAAATCTTCTAGTTTCATTTCTTCAACATTTATTAGCTGGCATTGTTTTCTATAAAGAAGAGCTTCCCTTTACAATAACACCCCTGTTGTTTTGCTTTTGGCTATCACTGGAGTTACAGATTTTAAAATTAGTATTAATTTACTGTGCTTGTGTCTTTCTCATGTGATTTTAGTAATCATCAGTACCATGCTTTCCTTCTGGTGCAGTACAGTGTCTTGTCATGTCTGACGACCAAACCTAGAATCTGTCTAGAATGGTATTTAGAAATCAAGATCTGGGTTGTAGTTGGACTCGTTGCTACTGGGGGTTTGTCGATCCGAGGTCCTTCCAGGAGCCCTAGTAGACTAGTGATTAAGTGCTCAGCTGCCAGATTAAAGACTGGTGATTTGAACTTAACCCAGTCATGGGAGAAAGATGTGGCAATGTGCTCCTGTAACTTTTGTTGTTGTTGTTAAGTGCTGTCAAGTTGGCTCCGACCCATAGCGACCCTGAACAGGGTTTCCAAGGCTGTAAATCTTTATGGGAGCAGAAAGCCTTATCTTTCTCCCGCGGAGCAGCTGGTAGTTTCGAACTGCTGACCTTGCGGTTCGCAGCCCAATTTGTAACCACTGCGCTACCTATTACAGCCCAGGAAACACCATAGGACAGTTCTACTCTACCCTGTAGGGCTGCTGTGAGTTTGAATCAACTCATCGGCATACAACAACAGGCCCTTTCTATTTTCAGAACATGTATATATGAAATTTTGAAATTACGAGTTCATAATGCAATCTTCAAACCTCATTCTGCAGGCGTCTTCCTTAGCTTTTGTATAGTTTAAGGTTTTCTCCAAATCCTTCAACTATCTCTGGTCCCCACTACTCAATAAATGCTTGTTGGCTGAATGGATGAGAAATAGCTATAGTTCCCCCCCACTCCCCCTGCTCCCGCTTTTATGCTAAGTAAAATATGATTGTACCTACTCAAGGAAGCATAACCTCCCTACTTTCTCTTGCAGGAAGTCTTTCCAAAGATCCTGCAAGAATTGAAGAAAGAGATGAAAAAGGCACTGAAGCTGCAGGCTGAAGGAGTGAAAACCTCAGAAGCTTGGCAGGCAAGTGCTGGGCCAGCTTGGAAAGTGTGTCCACTTGGGGACTCATCCTTTGCCGGGTACCTAGAATCTCAGGAAGTTTAGTTGGGTAGCTAATGAGGAATCTCACTCAGGGTCAGTCACCTCACTCAGTGGGCTGTTGGGACTGTGACAGTGAGGTTAAAATACTGGCTGCAACGGTTACATTAGATTTACTCATGTACTTTTCAGCTGTCATGGGGAAGCCAGTATTTGGGAGGACTTTTGAAAAAGGAAAAACAACATTTGGGGAGAACATGACATTTGATCATTATCTTTCTTGGATTTGAAGTTAGATTGCATATTCTTGGCCATGGACTTTGAAACATTTTTGACTAATATTCAAGGTAACCAAAAACTTCTAGCATCTCACTGTAAAACACACATATTGTTGTTAAGTGCTGTTCAATTGGTTCCAACTCATAGTACCCTGTTTAGGGTTTCTGAGGCGTGCCTGGTGAGTTTGAAACACCAGTCTTGTGGTTCAAAGCGACTTTGTGGTCCAGTACTTATCCTACAGCACCATACCAGGATGCCTGAAAATATGTATGGTTTGTTGTTGTTAGGTTCCATCGAGTTGGTTACAACTCAGAGCAACCCAATGCACAACAGAATGAAACACTGCCCGATCCTGCGTCATCTTTGCTATTATTACATTTGAGCCAACTGCTGCTGCCACTGTGTCAGTCCATCTCTTTGGGGGATCTTCCTCTTTTTCTCTGATGTCCTCTAGGACCTGATCCCTCCTGAAAATATGTATGTAGTTGGAGAAAAAAGAATTGTATTGAACAATCTTATTTATATGCAGTACACTGTATATCCTGTTCTATTCTCCACCTAGTCAGTTTTGTTAAAAATAAACACACTTGATTTCTACCCACTGAATTGATATCTTGACAGCATAATGGGCTGTGACCTACAGTTTGAAAATCCCTATTCTAGGTATTGTCAAAAGTCTGTGTTGTTATGTGCTGTTGCGTTAATTCCAATTCATAACAATTCTATAGGGTGGAGTAGAAATGCTCTTTAGGGTTTGCTAGAATGAAAGCTTTATGGGAGCAGATCTCTGTCTGGTAGGTTGAATTCCCAACTTTTTGGTTAGCAACTGAGCACTTCCTTAACCATTATACCACCATGGTGCCATTGTCAGAAGTCTACTTTCCAAATATTTCTTTTATCTCTTGCTGAGAGTTTAAAATTTCTAGACTGCATTCATTTACTTATTTTTTTGCAACAGCATTATTGTGTTATAATTTGCATATCACTAACATCTTTGCTGTTTTAGGTGTGCAATTCAGTGACTTCTATTAAATTCACCACTACAATCTAGTCTGAGACATTTTCATCACTTCAAAAAGATCCTTCATGCCTATTGGTAGTCACTCTCCATCCTTTCTTCCCTTAAACTTAGTTAGATGATGGCAACCATTAATCTACTTTCTGTCTTGATAGAGCTGTCTTTTCTGGAAATTTCATATAAATGGTATTCTACAGTATATGATTATTTTGAGCTGCCTTCTTTTATTAAGCATAATGTTTTTGAGGTTCATCCAGGTTATAGCTTGTATCAGCAAGTTCATTCACTTTTTTTCTGAACGGTATTTCACTGCATGAGTATATTATCACATCTGTTTATCCAATTCTTTGGTTAATAGACCTTTTAATTGTTTTTACTTTTTGGGTTATTGTGAATAATGTTATTAAAAACATTTATGTGTAAATTTCTGTGTGGTCACATGTTGTCATTTCTTTTGAGCATCTAGCTGGGAGTGGAATATCCACGTTGAATGGTAAATTTAGGTGTCCCTAAATGGTGAACAAGATGGATTGGCAAAGTGGCAGCTTCAGTGGGTTCAAGCGTGGCAACAACTGTGAGGTTGGCCCAGGACCAGGCAGTGTTTCGTTCTGTTGTGCATAGGGTTGCTATGAATTGGTACCAACTCAGTGGAACCTAACAACAACAACAACAACAACAAATGGTGCAAAAGATTAAGCACTTGACTGCTAGCCAAAAGGTTAGTGGTTTGAACCCACCCAAAGGTACCTTGGAAGCCAGGCTTGGCAATCTTATTTCTGAGAGGCCACACAGGCTAAAAAATGCCATGGAGCAGTTCTCCTCTACACACATAAGATTGCCCTGATTCAGAATGTCTATTTAAATTTTTAAGTAATTTCCTAACTGTTTTCCGAAGTGGCTGTTCTATTTCTTACCAGCTGTGTATGTTCCAGATCCTCTGTATCCTTAACATTATGTATGGTCTTTCTTTTTGATAATAGCCATATTGTGAATGTGCAAATGATATGTTACTGTGACTTTAATTTGCACTTCCTTAATGATTGATGGGGAGAAAGATGAGGCTTTCTGCTCCTGTAAAGATTTACAGCCTTGGATACCCTATACAGGGTAGCTATGGGTCGGAATTGACTCAATGGCACTTAACAACAATAATGATTGATGATGTTGAACATCTTCTCATGTGCTTAATGAAATATCTGTACATCTTTTGCTGATTTTTTACATTGTTTATCTGTGTCAAGTTATAAGAGTTACTTGTATATTCTGGAAACAAATCTTTCATCAGATAAATGATGAGCAAGTATTTTTATTTTCTTAAAGGTCTTTTGAAGTGTAAAATAAATTGTTATTTTAAAAATTTTTGATAAAGTTGAATTTTTCCTTTTCTCTGATATATTGTATTTTGATATATCTAAGAACTATTTACCTAACCTAAGATTAAGAACTTTGTTAGTCTATTTTCTGCTAAAACTTATGTCAGTTAGGAAGCCCGCTCAAGGCCAGTCACCTAGGAATGCTGTAGGAAATCTGACGGTGTGTCTTCGTTTTAGCTCTTACATTAGACCTCTGGGATCTCTTTAGGTATTTTTGTGTATGGTGTAAGGTAATAGTCAAAATTCACCTTATACAAAATTCATCTATCACTACTTCTCTACTGAATGACCTGGACACTCTTAGTGAAAATCACTAGTTCAATTCCATTGACCTATATGTCCATGCTTATATCAGTATTGGAGTCCTGTTGTGGCGCTGTAGGATAAAGCACTGGACTGCAGATCGATTTGAATCACAGGGTCGGCAGTTCAAACTCACCAGTCACGCCTCAGAAACTCTACACAGGATCGCTAGGGGTTGGAACCGACTTGATGGCATTTAACAGCAGCAATAACATACCAGTATCACACTGTCTTAATTACTATAATTTATGATAAGCTTTGAAATGGTGATATGTAAGCACTTCAGTTTTGTACTTTACAAGATTATTTGGATCATTCTCAGTCCTTTGCATTTTCATGTTTATTTTATGATCTAATTGAACAAAAACATTCTGCTGGAATTTTGATAGCGATTGCAATGAACCTACAGATTAATTTAGGGGAAGTTGCCATCTTTACAATATTGAATTGTCTAATCCATGAACATGATGTTTCTCTCCACTTATTTAGGTCTTTAATTTTGCAAAGAGTCCTGATGTGGTTTTGTGGGTTAATGAGCTGGACTGCAAAGTCAGTTTGAACTGCAAGGTCAGTGATTCAAGCTCACCAACTGCTCCTTGGAAACCCTATACAGAGTCACTATGATTCAGAACTAATTTGACGGTACTTAACAACAACAACAATTTTGCATAGCAAAGTTGTTTGATAGTTTTCAGTATATAAGATACACATTTGTTAAATTTATTTTGCAGAATTTAATTATTTTTAGTACTATTATGAGTGGCCACTACTTGCCTATCAGTTTTTGATACCATGGTGGTTTGTGTGTTGCTTTGGTCCTGGAAGCTGTGTCACTGGTATATTAAATACCAACAGGGTTACCCATAGTGGCCAGCTTTCAGTGGAACTTCCAGACTGAGCCAGACTAGGAAAAGAGAGGTGGATCACTTCTAAATGTTTAGCCACTGAAAACCTTATAAATAGCAGTGGAATATTATCAGATATAGTGCTGGAAGATGAGCCGTTCAGATTTGAAGGCACTCAAACTGTGACGGGAAGAGCTGCCTCCAAAGTAGAGCTGACCTTAATGACATGAATGGAGCAAAGCTTTGAGACCTTCATTTGCTGATGAGGCACAACTCAAAATGAGAAGACACAGCTGCAACCATCTATTAATAATTGAAACATGGAACGTACAAAGTATGAGTCTAGGAAAATTGGAAGTCATCACAAGTGAAATGGAATGCATAAAGATTGATATTCTTGGCATTAGTGAACTGAAATGGACTAGTGTTTACCATTTTGAATAAGACAGTCATATGATTTACCATGCTGGAAACAACAAACTAAAGAGGAAAATAAATTATTATTTAAAAAATTTTTGATCGAGTTGGATTTTTCCTTTTCTCTGATATATTGTGTTTTAATATATCTAAGAACTATTTACCTAACCTAAGATTAAGAACTTTGTTAGTTTATTTTCTTCTAAATGTCTAAATAAACTAACTTGGTTGTTAGTCTATTTTCATCGTCAAAATGAGCATGTCAAGGTCTTGAAGTACAGTGCTCTGCGTGATGTGATAATATGTGTGGCGCTGTGGGCTAATGCCCACAGACTGCAAAGTTGTTTGAACTGCAACGTTGGGGTTCAAGCTCACCAGCTGCTCCTTGGAAACCCTATACAGGGTCGCTATGGGTTGGAATCAACTCAATGGCACTTAACAACAAGAACATAAAGAAGACCAGTTAATGCCTCTATTAATCAAGTTTATGCAACAACCACTAAAGTCAATGGTGATGAAATAGAAAAATCCTAGCAATTTCTTCAGTCTGAAATTGATAAAACATGCATTCAAGATGCATTGATAATTATTGCTGATTGGAAAGTGAAAGTTGGAAACAAAGAGGAAGGATCAGTAGTTGAAAAATATGTCCTTGGTGATAGAAATAATGCTGGAGATTGCATGATAGAATTTTACAAGACCACTGACTTCTTCGTTGCAAATACCTTTTTTCAGCAGCATAAAAGATGATATACACATGGACCTAACCAGATGGAATACACAGATATCATATTGACTATATCTGTGGGAAGAGATTATGGAAAAATTCAAAAACATCAGCCAAAACAAGACCAGGATATTCTGTGGAAACAGACCATTAATAGCTCATATGCAAGTTCATGTTGAAGCTGAAGAAAATTGCAACAAGTTCACAAAAGCCAAAATATGACCTTGAAAATATCCTACCTGAATATAGAAATCATTTCAACTAGGGATTTGATGCATTAGACACGAGTGATCAAAGACAAGAAGACTTATGGAATAATATCAAAAACATCTTACAAGAAGAAAGCAAAAGTACATTAAAAAGACAGGAAAGAAAGAAAAGATCAAAATGGATGCCAGAAGAGACTCTAAAACTTGCTCTTGAGTGCAGAGATGCTAAAGTGAATGGAAGAAATGAGAAAGTAAAAAAACTGAGCAGAAAATTTCAAAGGGCAACTTGAAAAAACAGAGTCAAGTATTATAATGAAATGTCCAAAGATCTGGAGTTAGAAAATCAAAGGAGAAGAACATGCTCAATATTTCTCAAGCTGAAAGAGCTGAAGAAAAATTGCAACCCTTGGGATGCAATATTGAAAGACTCTATTGACAAAATATTGAAGGATTCTACTGACAAAATATTGAATGATGCAGGAAAAATCAAAAGAAGATGGAAAGAATCAACCAAGTCACTGTACCAAAAATAATTGGCCAATGCTCAACTGTTTCAAGGGGTAGCATATGATCAAGAACCAATGGTACTGAAGGAAGATGTCCAACCTGCACTGAAGGTTTTGGTGGAAGACAAGGCCTCAGAAACTGATGGAATTCAAATGGAAATGTTACAACAAACTGGTGAATTAGTGTTCACTTGTCTATGTCAAGAAATTTGGAAGACAACTACATGGCCAACTGATTGAAAGAGACCCATATTTGTGCCCACTGCAAAGAAAAGTGATCCAATGAAAAGCAGAAATCATTGAACAATGTTTTTAATATCACATGCAAGTAACATTTTGCTGAAGATAATTTAAAAACGATGGTAGCAGTACATCGACAGCAAGCTGGCAGAAATTCAGGCTGGATTCATAAGAGGACATGGAATGAGGGATATCATTGCTGACGTTAGCTGCATCTTGGTTTAAAGCAGAGAATACCAAAACGATGTTTACTTTGCTTTATTGCCTATGCAAAGGCATTCGACTGTGTAGATCACGACAGACTATGAATAACATTGGGAAGATTTGGAATTCCACAACACTTAGTTGTGCTCATGAGGAACCTGTACCTAAGCCAAGATGCATTTGTTGAACAAGGGAATACTGAATAGTTTAAAATCAGAAAAATTGTGTGTCAGGGTTGTATCCTTTTACTGTAGTTATTCAGTCTGTATGCTGAGTAAATAATCCTAGAAGCTGGACTATATGAGGGAGAATATGACATCAGAATTTTCTGAAGACTGATTCATCAGCAACCTGAGATATGCAGATGACACAACTTTGTTTTCTGGAAGTGAAGAAGACTTTAAACACTTACTGATGAAGATCAAAGATTACAGACTTTAGTATGAATTGCACCTTAATGTAAAGAAAGCAAAATTCCTTCCAACTGGATCAGCAAATAACGTCATGATAAATGGGGAAAAGATTGAAGTTGTAAGACTTCAATTTGCTTCAGCCCACAATCAACACTCATGGAAACAGCAGTCAAGACATCAAATGATGTATTGTGTTAGCCATAACTGTAAAAAATGTCTTTAAAATGTCAAAGGGCAAAAATGTCAGTTTGAGGATTAAGTTCTGCTTGATCCAAGACATGATATTTTCAAGAGCTTCATATGCATGTGAAAGTTGGAAAATGAATAAGGAGAAGAATTGATATATTTAATTTATGGTGTTGCCAAAGAATATTGAAAGTGTCATGGACTGCTAGAGTAACAAACAAATTTGTCTTGGAAAAAATATAGCCAGAATGCTCCTTAGAAGTAAGGATGGCAAGACTCTCTTGTTCTTTGGACATGTTGTCAGGAGGAATCAGTCCCTGGAAAAAGATATCATGCCAACTTGATGGTACCTAAAATATTGTGAATGGAATTTCTTTCTTAATCAGCTATGGATTATTCCTTGCTAGTAGGTAGACATACAAATTTTTAAATGATTAGTTTTGTATTAAAAACATAGATTATGTTTTAGAGCAGATTTGTTGTTAAGTGCTGTTGAGTCGGTTCCAACTCATAGTGAACCTGTACCGGATTTCCAAACCTTGTGGTTCAAATCGGCTTTGCTTATCATACAGCATCACACCCATACTCAAGAGCAGGTTTAGGAATACAGAAAAATTGTGCAGGAAGTATATAGTTCTAAATACTCACCCCTCTCTAATTTTTCTGTTTTGAGTATTAACATTTTATATTCCAATGATAGCATTTATTACAATTAAAAAACCCAAACTGATGCATTATTATTGGCTAATGCCTACAGTTTACCTTAGGGTTCTCGTTTCATGTTCTATCATTCTGTTCATTTTGACAAATGTATAATGTCATGTATTTAATCATATAAGTCATATCCTACAGTGTAGTTTTACTACCCTAAAAATCTGCTGTGTACCACACCCAAACAGCCCTTGGCAACCACTAATTTCTTTACTGTCTGTTTAATTTTACCTTTTCCAGAATATCATATAGTTGTGATTGTAAAGTAGGTACCCTTTTCAGACTGACTTATTTAGCAATATGAATGGAAGGCATTTACTGTGGTTTTTTTTCTAAACACATCCACCTATTGAAGAATATCCTGGTTCATCTAATTTATGGCAGTTATGAATAAAGCTGCAATTAACATTTATTTGCATTTTTATGTGACTATATGATGTTTCAATGCATTTGAGTAAATATGTAGGGGTGTGATTACTTAATTGAAAGTATAAGAAATTTATATGTAGCTTTGTGACAAACTGCTGGACTGTTTTCTAAAGTGTCTGTACCATTTTACACTCCCACCAGAAATGAATGAGAGTTCCTATTGCTCCATTCCTCACTCATATTTGGTGGTGTGTTTTGGATTTTAGTCATTCTAGTAGTTATATAGTTTGTTGCTATAATTCGCAATTTACTATTGATATATGGACTTGTCTGCCAGTTTGTTGTACTGTGGTGGCTTGCGTTTTGCTGTGCTTCTGGAAGCTATAGGGTTACCCATGGTGGACAGGTTTTAGCTGAGCTTCCAGATTAAAACATAAATAGAAAGAAGGAGAGACAGACTACTTACAAATATTTAGTCACTTAAAACCTTATGAATAGTGGTGGAACACTGTCAACACCAGAATATTGACTATTGAAATATGATGAAGAGCACCAGAATATTGTTAGATATAGAGCCAGAAGATGAACCCCTCAGATTGGAAGACACTCAAAACACTATGGGAGAAAAGCAGGCGTCTCAAAATAGAGTTGACCATGATAATATGAATGGGGTAAAGCCTTCTGGGTCTTTATTTGCTAATGAGACACAACTCAAAATGAAGAGAAACACCTGCAAATATCTATTAATAATCAGAACATGGAATATACAAAGGATAAATGAAAGAAAATGGGAAATTGTCAGAAATTAAGTGGAATGCATAAACAGTAAGCTGAAATGGGCTGGTGTTGACCATTTTCAATCTGATAATCACATGGTTTACCATGCCAGTAATTACAAATTGACGAGGAATGGCGTTATATTCATTATCAAAAAGAACACATCAAGATTGGTCTTGAAGTACAACATTGTCTGTGATAGGACAATATCCATATACCTATAAGGAAAACCAGTTAGTAGCGTAGTGGTTACGAATCGGGCTGCGAGCCGTAAGGTCAACAGTTCAAAACTACCAGCGGTTCCGCGGAAGATAGATGAGGCTTTCTGCTCCCGTAAAGATTTACAGCCTCAGAAACCCTGTACAGGGTCGCTATGAGTCGGCATCAACTCCACGGCACATAACAACAACAACACTAACTCCAGTGATGATGAAATTGAAGAATTCAACTTCTTCAGTCTGAAATTGACCAAATATGCGATCAAGAAGTATTGGTAATTACTGGTGTTTGGAATGCAAAAGTTGGAAATAAAGAGGAATTATCAGTCATTTGAAAATATAACCTTGGTGATAGAAACAGTGCTGGAGATCACATGATAGAATTTTGCAAGTCCAGTGACTTCTAAATTGCAAATACCTTTTTTAAACGTAAAAGATGACTATACACATGGCCTCAACAGATGGAATACACAAAAATAAAATTGACTACATATGTGGAAAGAGACAGTGTCAAAACTCCATATCATCAGTGAAAACAAGGTCAGAGGCAGACTGTGGAACAGACCATCAATTGCTCATATGCAAGTTCAGGCTGAAGCTGAAGAAAATGAAAACAAGTTCACAAGAGCCAAAACAGGACACTGAACTTATCCCATCTGAGTTTAAAGATCATCTCAAGAACAAGTTTGATGCATTAGACACTAATGACTGAAGGCCAGAAGAGTTGTGGGACGACGTCAAGAACATCATATAGAAAGAAAGCAAAAAGTCATTGAGAAGACAAGATGAAGAAAAAGACAAAAATGGATGTCAGAAGAGACTCAAACTTGCTCTCCAGTATAGAGATGTTAAAGCAAATGGAAGAAATAAGGAGGTAAAAGAGCTGAGTAGAAAATTTCAAAGGTCAGCTCGAGAAGACAAAGTCAAATATTATAATGAAATGTGCAAAGATCTGAAGTTAGAAAACCAAAAGGGAAGAGTACACTCAGCATTCATCAAAGCTGAAGGAACTGAAGAAAAAATTCAAGCCTCAACTTGAATTTTGAAGGATTCTCTGGGCAAAAAAATGATGCAGAAAGCACCAAGAGAAGATGGAAGGAATACACAGAGTCACTGTACCAAAAAGAAAAGGTTGATGTTCATCATTTCAAGAGGTAGCATAAGCTCGAGAGCCAATGATACTGAAGGAAGAAGTCCAATGTGCTTTGAAGGCATAGGCAAAGAACATGGCACCAGGAATTGATGTAATAAAAATGGAAATCCCTCAGTGAACAGATTCAGCACTAAAGGCATTCACTTGTCTATGGTAAGAAATTTGGAAGGCAGCTACCTGGCCAACTGACTGGAACGGATTCATATTTGTGTTCATTCCAATGAGGTGACCCATCAGAATGTGGACGTCATGGTACAGTATCATTACTATTGCATGCAAGTAAAATTTTGCTAAAGATAATTTTAAAAACATCTGCAACCATAGATAGAGAGAGAAGAATTGATGAATTTGAGTTATGGTGTTGGAAGAGAATATTGAAAGTAGGGTAGACTGCCAAAAGAACAAACAGATCTGTGTTGGAAGATGTACAGCCATAGTGCTCCTTGGAAGTCAGGATGGCTTCTTCTCTCATACTGGGACATATTGTCAAGAGGGACAAGTCCGTGAAGAAGAATATCATGTTTGGTAAAGTGGAGGGTCCGAAAAAAAGAGAAAGATCTTCAACAGATGGTTTGGCAAAGTGGCAGCAGCAACGGGCTTAAACGTAGCAACAATTGTGAGGTTGACACAGGACCGGACAGTGTTTTGTTCTGTTGTACATAAGATCACTTGAGTCAGTACCACCTGTTGTACATAAGATCACTTGAGTCAGTGGCACCTAACAACAACAACAATACTCCAGAATATGCATACTTGTTTAGTGCAGTCAAGTTGGTTTTGACTCAAAGCGACCCAGTTTAGGGTTTCCAAGGAAAGCTAGTGAATTTTGTTTGTATATTCATCAGTTAGAGCTCTGGTAGCGTAGTGGTTACGAATCGGGCTGTGAACCTTAAGGTCAGCGGTTCGAAACTACCAGCTGCTCCGCGGGAGAAAGATGAGGCTTTCTACTCCCGTAAAGATTTACACCCTCGGAAACCCTGTACAGGGTCGCTATGGGTCGGAACCGACTCAATGGCACTTAACAACAACAACATTCATCATTTGATGGGCACTCAGTGTTTCCACCTTATGACTATTGTGAAAAGTACTGCAGTGAACATTGGTGTATGGGTTTCTGTTGCATTTATGCCTTTGAATTTTCTGGGTATATACTTATATGGTAAGCACTGGACTGCAAACGACAAGGTTCACCATTTGAGCTGCCTGCCACATCACAGAAGAAAGATTAGACTTTCTGTTCCCATGAAGATTTAAAGCCTCTGACACCCTATACAGGATCACTATGAGTTGGAATCAACTTGACAGTACTTAACTACAGCAACAATTTAGGATTTAGATTGAGTTTTTAATTTTAATGGAGACCAGTTTATTAATTCTTTTTCATTGTGCTTTTGGTGGTGTTCTAAGAAGTCATCACCAAACCCAATGCCACTCAGATTTTCTATGATTTCTTCTAGAAGTTAAATAATTTTTAATTTTACATTTAGGTTTATGATCCACTTTGAGTTTTATACCTACTTTGATAGCACTTCAGGTTTGTTTCTAGATTTATGTTTTTACATGTGGATATCCAGTTGTCAGTACCATTTGTTGAAAAGATGATCGTTTTCCCACTGAATTATCTTTACAACCTTACAGAGGATTAGTTAACTAACTGTATTTGTGTGGGTTTATTTCTGGGCTCTCTTTTCTGTTTCATTATTTATTTGTGTGTTTGTTTGCTAATACCACACTGCCTTCATCATCATAGCATTATTCTAAGTCTTGATGTCAGGTAGTATCAGTCTTCCAATTTTGCCCTTCGATTTTCTGGATTTTTTTCCATATAACCTTTAGAATAGTTTTCCAATATCCATAAAATAATTTGCTTGGATTTTGAATGTAATTGTATTGAATCTGTACATCAAGTTGGAAAGAATTGATATCTTAATAATACTGAGTTTCCTCTCCATGAACATGGAACACCTCTCCATTTGTTTAGACCTTTGATTTTTTTCGTTAGAGTTTGTACTTTTTTTGAAAAGAGAAAGACTGAAGTGTGAGGAATCACTCTACCCCAAATAAGGCCTACTATTAAGCTACAACATCCAACACTGCAGTATTGGTTGATGGATAGACACGTTCCATAGGTACATAGCGTATTAGATTTATGTGTCATTATTTCGCTTTTATTGTGGTTCAAATGTACATGATGTGTTTTCTATTTCAAATCTACATTGTTAATTACTGTTAAACCTCCTCCTCACTTTTGACTGTCTCGTTATCTGACATTTCACTTATATGACTACAACTTTGAAAATAGTCTGGGCTCCACCAGGGCATGGCTGAGCTAGGGCTGCCTTCTACAGGCCACCCTGAGTGGTATACTGGAGGCCTCTGCAGTTTCCAAGTCAAGCAAGGGATGGTGGCCAGCCAGCTGTGCAATGCCTTCTCCAGTTCTGAGACGTCTTGGCATAAGCATGGAGAGCACAGGGCAATGGTGGGATAATGTGAGATTGAGGGTGGGCAGGGAGGCTCTGAGAGGTGTACTGTAAGGAAAACATGGTGGGCAAGGGAGACTTTTCATGCCATGCATATCCTGAGACTTGTGGGGGCCACCTGATGGGCATTGAGGGACTAGGAGAGAAGGTGGACCGACACCAAAGACAGGGTATGGCCTCCAACTCTCACATAATACCATTTTCACATAACTACCTGGTCTTTGGAATCTATGTCAATAAGTGAGGCATGGGTATATATAGGAAAGCAAGTAACTTTTGTAAATTCTATATCTGGTAAATTTGCTATCACTTATTAGTTACATTAGTATTTTATAAAGTTTTTGAGTTATTTTTCATAGACAATCATATCATCTGTAAATAAAGGCACTTTTACTTCTTCCTTCTCAATCTGTATACTCTTATATCTTTTTCTTGCCTTACTGCATTAGCTAGAATTTCCAGTACCATGTTGAATAGGAGTAGTGAAAGGGGACACCCTTTTCTTATTCCCCATCTTAGGGAGAAAGCATCTAGTTCTTTACCATTGCATATAATGCTAGCTGTTGTAAGTTTTTTGTAGATTAAATTTATCAAGTAGAAGAATTTTCCCTCTCTTCTAGTGTGCTGAGAGTTTTTGTCATGAGTGGGGCTTGGTTTTTGTCAAATGTCTTTATCTACTATATGATCATACTATTTTTTTCTTTATTCTGTTTGGATGATGTATTATTACATCATTACATCACATTATTAGTTGGTTTTCAGATGTCAAACCAGCCTTGCATACCTGGAATAAATCCCACTTGGTTGTGGTTATATTATTTTTTCTACACTGTTAAATTGATTTGCTAATATTTTACTAAGGATTTTCTGAATTCTCTACTCTGTTCTATTGATCTTTGGGTTGATCCTACATAACCACATTGTATTGGTTACCATAACTTAATCATAGTACTCAATTTTGGGTAGAGTGATTCCTCATACTTTATTATTTCTCTTTTTTCAAAATTGTTTTAACTATCCTATATCCTATACCTTTTTATTTTAGTTTTACACTAATTTTTATATGTCCACAAAAAACCTTTTTAAGTTTTCATTGGAATTGCATGGAACCTATAGACCAATTTGAGGAGAATTGACATCTTTACAATGTTGAATCTTCCAGTAAGTGAACAATGTATGAGGGTAGTAAAAAGTATTGCTTCTAGGATTCCAGTTCATACATGTGAGGGTTTCTTCCAAATAAAACATGTTTAAATATGCCTTTGCAATCAGTGGATGGATGCAGACAAATTCTCTTAGTAATACATTTGGATGTATTAAAAAAAGGATGCTTTTTGTGCCATGGGAAAAAGTAATTTAGAAGCTGGAGCAAAAATAACATTTTAAGCAAAACTCAGGTAGACATCTTCCCAGTCACTGAAACTGCAACGAGTTTCTATAAATGCTGTTTTAGATGGATCAAGCATTTTGAGGAAGTTTTTAAAGACCTCAAAGATGAATTCAAGGCAGAGAGGTCAGCTCAGAAGGTTATGGTGACTACTTTTTGGAATTCCAGAGGAGGAATCTTGATAGATTTTCTTGAAAGACAACAGGACAATCACAGGAACTCATTAGGAAGAAGTTTTAAGGAAGTGAAAAACTGTATTGGTGAGAAAAAGGCCAGGAAAATTGTGTTGGACTTCAAGATAGACAATGCTGTGACCAGGTTACACTGCCAGCTGGAAAGATTATGGGCTTTCTTATTCTTATTAAGTAAAGGCCAAGCCATAAACATCGAAGGGGAGATGATGAAGAAAATAAAAACGGAAGAGGAAGGAGAAAGGTAGTTTATAAGAGCCAACAAGGGGGAGGGTCAAGAGAATACCTTAGGAGATAGCAAGACAGGAAAAGGATTACTTTTGAAGCCATCACTTCTAAGAGAAATACAATACAAGTAACATTATTAAAAAGTGAAAGGAAGCAGGTGAAATTAATTTCAATAATATATTTTATTTAATGTTAAAAAGTACTAATCATTTTAAGATGTCAATATTAAGATCATTAATGACCTATATTACATTTTCTTTTCCATGCTAAGTTTTTGAAATCTAATGTTTGCTTTATACTCCTAACCCTCTCATTTTTAGCCACTTTCCACATTTCAGGTGTTCAATGGCCAGTAGCTACCAGGATATCAGATTGGTTGTTTTTTTAATGTTTTATTGTGAATTTTGTAATAGTTTACATGGGAGAACATTAGCTTTACAGTCATCCTATCATATATCGTATATCGTTTCATTGCCATGGTTACAATCCCCTCCATGCATCATCAACCAACTAAAGCCTGCCCCCTTTCCCTCTCTGGGTCTAAAGTCCCCAGCCGCTCCATCTCTCCGCTTCATCTCTGCCTCCATCTCTGATGTCACTGCTTCTCTGGGTAGGGTCCTGCACTCAGCTCTTCTCCCTTGATGGTCCCAGGGACCTCCGCTCCTAGACTGCAGAGTCAATCACTCCCCTCCTTTTGCTACAAAACGTCTACCGTTACATTTCCAACCCTTACAATCAGTCCTGATCACAATTATTTACTATTGTATCACAAGAGACCTCTCCGCATCTCCTTTCATCAGCCCCTCCCAAACAGATTGGATACTAATCAGTGGAGAGTCTACCTTCCTTCACGCCCTCTGGATCTAGACTCCCTCTTGAAAGCTTGTAAGCCAGTCACTTCTTGCCTTTGTAGCTCCCCCATTTTGGGTAGCCAATGTCCAAGTTGCCCATTCCTGTCTACTCTGTGTGTAGAGGGGGTGGGAATGATCCTTGCTGTAAAGATTTGTTCCCTTTTTTGAGCTACTGTATCCATAGGTGTAGGTCAAGTTCATCAAATTGTACCAGTTTACTCTTTTTCCCCTCTTCTTTCTTCTTCTAGTTGAGCTCTGATCATCCAGTCATTGAAGCCAGGTCAAATGGGTATTATCTGCAAGTATGGGTGTTCTTATGCATATGCCCTCTCTTCTTATCAGCTAGATGCTTCACTCTCCACTGTAGTCCTTTGTGGAAGATCGGGTTTTAATAAAAATAAAAATAATAGACTCATCTCATTCAATGTCTAATTTGAGAGTGAAAATGAGCCTCTCTGGGAAGGGAACCAAGAGTCATTTGCTGCCTAAAAGCAGTAAAGAATACCATATGCAGTGTTGAGCTGGTAATTGTGAATAGTCTACTCTGGGCCGGTGGGAATGATGTAAGTTTACAGAGTCCCTTAGTGTAAATTCTTCTGCCTTGTGTGATTTCCTGAAATCACTGAATAAGGATTTGGGAAGAGTTGGGCAATAGTGTGCCATGTGTAGTATTCCCACCTTGTTAATGCAATGGACACAAGTAATTTCAATAGTGTGAATGTAAAATGTACTAAAATAATTAGGAAGTCATGACTTTTGAGTGTGTATTACTCTTGTTTTTATTATGACTTCTGTCATTGTTTTGACTAGAATTTATATAAATTTTAAAGCTCAAATGAGGAATTCCTAGAAAGCATAAGCAGTTAAGTACTTGTCTAGTAACTGAAAGGTTGGCAGTTCTGACCTACCCAGAAGTACCTTGGAAGACAAGCCTAATGATCAGCTTCCAAAGCCATGAAAACATTATGGAGCAGTTCTGCTATTTACAAATAGGGTTGCCATGAGTCTGAATGACTCGATGGTAACTTACAACAACAAAAAGAAGTTTAAATAACTTAATTTTTAATAATGACTGTTTCGCAGTTGACTTGCACAATTCTGGATAACTTAAAAAGAAGCTGTTCCATTGCTCAGACCCTGCCTGTATGTACACCAGGCCCCTATTTGTGACCTGATTCTTCCTTCACCCCCAGGTGAAGGTGCAAGAGCGGAAGCAGAGGACAGTGTTCCAGTTTAAGAAGTTCCGGAACCTTCTGGCTGAGGAGGAGCTGCTGGTCCTACAGGAGCTGGAGAAGGAAGAGACGGAGATGATGGAGGTGTTGAAGGAGGAAGAGCGTGCCCTGACTGGGCAGACCCATGATGTGGAGGAGCTTATCTCAGAACTACAGGAGCGCAGTCAGAGCCCTGCTTTAGGGATGCTCCAGGTGACACTCTCACCCTAGGTAGGGACACAGGAATGGGGGCTTGGCGGTAAGAAGAGAAAGGAAAGATAGGGGTGAGGCTAGACTGCTATGTTAGGCAGGTAGAATCTTCATGGTTATAACTCTCCTTCTTTCCTTGCTTATTATGGGGTAGAGGAAGACAGGAGAAGGGCTTCCTGTGGACCTGGTCAGGAGATGCATGGCCTGGCCATAGTCAGCTGTTTGATAGCTGAATCTTAGACCCCTCCCAGGGTCCATCTCAGGAGGTGAGACAGTGTACCCCAGACATAAGCAGCTCTGGTGTTCTTAGCCCTGTGCCCTTGCCCTGGTGGCCATGCCCCTTCCTGTATGTGACAGACCCTGAGTGAAGACTTCCAGCCACCCATGGCCCAAACTCCAAACTATGTGATGATGGAACAAAATGGCAAAAGCTAGAAAGCTGCTTTCCCAGCATTTCACACGCTTCAAACTTCATGAATGATTCTTTAAGATTTTCTAAAGTGTTCAGGGGAAATTATTTTTGTATGTTGTTGTTGTTGTTAGGTGCCATCAAGTCAGTACCAACCCATAGTGACCTTATGCACAGCAGAATGAAACACTGCCCGATCCAGGGCCGACCTCACTACTGTTGCCACGCTTGAGTGCATCAATGCTGCTACTTGGCCAATCCATCTCGTTGGGAGTCTTCTTCTTTTTCTCTGACCCTCCATCTTACCAAACATGATATCCTTCTACAGTGACCGGTCCCTCCTGACAATATGGCCAAAGTATGAGAGACGAAGTTTGGCCATCTTGGCATCCAAGGAGCACTCTGGCTCTATTTTTGTATAAGAACCTTAAAGTAATTAAAATAGAATAATAAATTTTTTCATTGCCTGAGTGGGGCAAATGGTTAGGCGCTCAGCTACTAACCAAAAGGTTGGCAGTTGTAAGCCTCTTCAGAGATTCCTTAGAAGAAAAGCCTAGTGATCTGCTTCAGACAGGTCATAGCCTTGCCAAACCCTGTGGAGCAGTTCTACTTTGCATGCATGGGGTTACCATGAGTCAACTCAGTGGTAACTAGCAAAAACAATCTTATACTGCACAACTAGAGACAAGTTTTTGTGAATCATTTGCATATAGATGTGAACTGAAGCTGTGGGCTTGGGCAAGATTGCTTAGGGACCCGAGGAAGGCCACCATATTCTCTCTGCTAACCCAGTGTTTTTATTTTCTCTGCAGGGTATTGGAGAAATTCTGAGCAGGTATGCAGTCCATGGAAGCTAAAGGGTGTGCTTCGAAACCAAGTGGTCTCTGTATCTTGCTGGGTAAAGGGATAACAGGCTATTTCTTCTAGGGTTAAACATTTGGAACTTCAGACCCCAAAAGTCATTTCCATGGAGCTAAGGACTATGTGCAGAGTTCCAGGGCTGGTAGAGACACTTCGGAGATTCCAGGGTAAGAGGTGGATGGGTTGTATTTTAGGAGCCCCTGAGTTGTAAAAACAGCTAAGCACTTGTCTACTAACTGAAAGACTGGTGATTTGAACCCACCTAGAGGCACCTGGCAAAACTGGGCAGGCAATCAGATTCTGATAAGTCACTGCTTTGAAAACCCTATGGAGCAGTTATGCTTGCTGTGCATATGGTATTGCCATAAGTCGAAATCAACTTGATGACGACTATAACAACAGCAACAAGGGTGGATTTAAGGACAGGACAGCGACCTTAGATGCTGTCATTCCAATTCAAGACCATTTAGCTGGGCCTTTCTGTGCAATGAGTTTCTAAGGAACATTTCCTAAAGATCCCAACCTTGACCTTAGAGTGAGGCCATCTTCCAAGGTACAGGATCCAGGGAAGCCCATTTTTTCCTTTTGTATATCATTTCATCATGCTGCTCTTTTCCCCATTCAACCCTATGCAGACCACGACTTGTAGCATGGAATTTCCTGGCTCAGAGATGATGGGAATACTTAGAAGTAAAACAATGAGGGGAAGGCTTGCTTTAATTCCTGTAATTATTAAGCATACAGTTATAGTTCGCTCATCATATAGTAGTTATGTCCAGCACTCAGTTTGCATTCTGGTAGTTGACACAGATAATGAATATATACACAGGTGGCTCTTTGTGCATGTACTCTGAAAAAAAGAATGCAGTTGTTAGATGAGCGACTACTCACAGGATGCGAGGTGGCCCTGCCAGGGTGGTGACGCTGCAACCAATGTTGTTCCTGTCCCCATGCTATCTCTAGAAGTGTCTTCTGAAGACCAGAGTAGCCCTCTTGATGACCAAGCCCAATGGTGTCTTGTTCTTTTCTACCTTTTTCATTTTGAAAACTTTCAAACACAGAAGTGCTGGAAAAGTGTATTAGTGACTCTATTTATTCTTTCGTTTTGCCCTCAATCAATTGTATTTTGTTTCACTGCAATGATTACAGTCCCCTCTATGCACTATAGGTTGGCAGTATTTTTCTTTATTCCCTCTTATTATTATTATTTTTTTTATGTACATAAAAACACGCATGAATATATAATTGTCTAAACAACCAAAGGGCACATTTTGCAAGCCAGCCTCCTGGCTGCTAGCACACACCCTTTCTCTTTCCATGAGTCTAGAGTCCTCAGCTGCTCAGTCTCTCCATGCCATCACCTCTGCCTCCATCTCTGGTGTCACTGCTTCTCTGGTTAGGCTCAGGTTCCACTCATGCTCTTTTCTCTATTGATGGTCCTAGGGTCCTCTGTTCCTGGAATGTAAGATTAGCTGCTCCCCCCTTTTTTTAAAAAAAAAACACACAACTTTTTATTATGAATTGGGTGAAAGTTTCCGAAGCAGATCATCAGTGTCACATTAAATAATTCATTCACATTTTATTTTATCTCATTGATTTTTTTTTTTTTAAGGTTTTTATTGTGGATTGAGTGAAAGTTTGATGACAGGGCATATCAGTTTTACATTCAACAAATCATATACCTTGTTTCATTACATTGATTATAATATTGTTAAAAACAGTATTTCTCTCTATCCACTTTAGCTTTTTTAAAAAACACACAAACAAAAAAACCCACTCAGGCATATATAATAATTTACATCTCCAAAGGGCACATTCTGCAAGTCTGCCCCTGGCCACCAGCTCTTAGTCCTTCTCTTCTTAGTCTATGAATCTAGAGTCCTCAGCCACTCCCCGTCTCCATGCCTCCATCTCTGGCATTGCTGCTTCTCTGGATAAGGTCCCGCATTCTGCTTGTGTGTTCTTCTCTTGATGGTCCTAGGAGCCTCTGTTTCTGGACTGTAAGATTAACTACTCCCCTTTTTTTGTCACAAAACTTCTGCCTTTACAATTGTGACAGTTGCAATTAGTCATGATAATAGTTATTTGCTATTGAATCTTAAATATCATATCCCCATCTCTTTTCACCAGACCCATCTAGACAATATGACAGCTATTAAGTGGGGACTCTTTCTTTCCCCCCATACTCTTAAGCTAAACTCCCTCTTGAAACCTTGTAAGCCAATCATTTCATACCTTTATTGCCCCCTCATTTTAGGTAGCCAATGTCTAAGTTGCCCATCCCTATCTACCCTGTGTACAGAGCAGATAGCATTGAAACTTGATTTAAAGACTCTTTCCCTCTCTGTTGGTATTTAGAGTAACTACCGCTCTGAATATAGGTCAGGTTCATCATGAAGATGGATCTTCTGTCACTATAGCTGTTCCAGTCTGCTTGTCCTTTCTAGTGGGAATGTCTCACCTCATAAAGTTGTGGATGGGACTCAGGATTCCACCTAAGGTCCTATACTCTGTAAAGGCTTTGCATGAGGTCTATGTCACTGGGCAAGTTGTAGAACCCCTTTTAGGTATTCCAATCAGTTACAGGCTGAAGGCGGGCTTACAAGTTTTCTCTAATCATGTTTCCCAACATTCCTTTCTATCCCACTCAAGTGTCTGTTTTACAATAGTAGGCAAGGGAACTAGTATTCATAAGGCAGTCAAGGATTTTAGTATTATTTACCCTCTTCAAGCTATAACTAGATCCCTGTATCCCAGAGCCCTGTTGTTCCAAAGTTGAGTGTGCATCACTATTTACCTCTGTCACACTAGGCCATGCAAATCTGTCTCAGTGTTCCCCTATCTATCTTGTTCTTCTGCCTCTCCCCCCCTTCTTGTATTGCCCTCCCCAACACCCAAAGTAAAAACCCCCCACCCCAACCCCATTGTGGTTACCTTATATTCTATTAGTTATTTCCTCCATTTAAGAGAGTCTATTTTATCCAGTAATCTACATGACCTCACCACCTGCATCTTTGTTCCTCTTTGTTTACCTTTTTTCACATTGTAATTGTTTTGATCATAGACGGACCTCCCAGATCCTCTGTTATTACAATTTTTTTCTGTTCTTGACTCTTCCATTTGTAGACTGAGTTCAGG